GAAGGGCTCCTCAAAGTCACTGTCTGCTGTCCCTGAGCGCTGGATGGACTGAATCCTCCTCCTGCAGAGGGGGCACTGAAGCTCGCCCTCAGCCCCCTGCTGGATACACAGATAACAGAGACGGTGGTGGCACAGCAGCACATAACTGGCCTTCTCCCACCTCTCCAGGCATATCGGGCACCTGTCCTCCACCTCTGTTTTCACTCTCAGCACTTGCTGCGGTGGGCTGGGGGGAGATGGGGCTGGGGGGGTGCCGGTGCTGCAGCAGCAGGCGTCACGCTAGAAAAGGAAGCGAGGCCATGGTCACTGGTTGGCCCCAGGGAGGGGTGGAATGAATGCCCAGGTCCCTCAAGAAGGAAACCATCCCAGCTCTCCAGGGCGAGGTTTCCGCTCCGAGCTCACCTCTGCTGCTGCGAGCGTGCCTCCCGGGTGCCCCAGCTACTGAACCGGGCAGGGCTGGGGAAAATCTGTTGATGGCTCTGGGGTCGGGTGCTGAGAGCTGCAACAAACAGCTCCCGCAGCAGGACACCAGCACCAAGGCCGCGCTCAAGACTCCGAACCTCACGATAATGCTCAGCCGGAGTCCAGGCACGCGACAGCTCCTCAGTGCCCGAATATAAGCACCGAGAGACACCGGGTCACTATCCATCGCTCAGCGACATCATAGTCCATCACTTGGAGATGTCTCAATCCATCCCTCGGTGACAACAGAACCCGTCTCTTGGGGACTTGCTGACACCGCAACCCATCGCTTGGTGACATCACTGTCCCTCACTTGAGGATGCCACGACAGGCCATCCTCGCCTGCAGCGCTCGCCTCCGCAGCACTACAGCCCCAGCACACGCATCTGGGGTTACCCCAGACGACAGGCCATCCTCGCCTGCAGCGCTCGCCTCCGCAGCACTACAGCCCCAGCACACGCATCTGGGGTTACCCCAGCACCAATGCCCACGCCATCCCGCTCATCTCTTATTAAACCAGTGATCTGAAGATTGAGATGAACTGCCAAGAACACACACGAACAAGGAAGGCTCAAACCCGCCCAATGGCCTGCCCAACGGCAATACCCTGAAGTAATCGGCTCCTTTTTGTTCCACAACAGCCTTTCGCTGGCCACTTACTGAGGTTTCTGTTTTCCCTTTAGGTCCATCTGTGGATCAAGCAGTAAGGGAATGGGCTTCCTCCACGTGTACTGAGCTGCTTCTAGCCAGCACCAAGTCCCTCGCCACTTCCCCTCCAAGAGGGGCTGGGTAGTGTCAGATTAGCAAACCTCCACCTGGATTTCTTTCCCAGCAGAAACTCGGGAGAAGCTTTGGTTTGGTCAAGAGGCAGAAGCTTTCCAGGGCCTTATGCCACCAGTGCCTTTTTTGTTCCCCACACTCTGGCTCTCCCTGCCTGTCTGCTGTGACTCTGGCAGCATTGGTGCAGTGTTGTAGCTCCAGGCAGCCTGGCACAACTATGATTCTCCTGGAATCCTCCTCCTTTCCACTTCTTTATCTGCTCATCAATGTCAGGACAGAGGCAGGAAAAGAAACTTCTGGGCTGATGTGGACTTAGCGCTGAGAGGGGTCATGGGTCACTCCTTCTGAGGGACTGACTGGGGGACCTAGCTATATGTTTTCTACTCAGTTATACATACAAATACTGAAAGGTGGGCCCCCAAATGTGTTTCAAGGGCTTTAGCAAAGGAACAACTTTAGAGAATGGCATAGAGCACCATTCAAATATATTTTCACCTCCTGAGCAAGAGGAACACCTAGATCACCTGTTACCCTGGGTAAATCTTCAGTGCACAGTGGAATGCTATGCAGAGAGATCTTACTTAATTGTGAAGAATTTAGCTGAGATATCAGAAGCAACATGTTATCAACACTCCTGAAGTAACATAGCCTGGTCAAAGTGACATGAATGTATCCCTTCTCAGACTGGCTTCTGCAATGCTGCACAGTGTTACTTTGTACCAGGTACTCTCAAGAGCAACTGAACACTTCATGAAGAGAAGGATGTGAATGGTTAAATCTTGCTAGGACCCCTGCACGGGGAAGGTGCCTAACCTGTAAATGAAACTTGAGACCTGTGTGCTACAGGAGTGGATTTGCGTGTCATTCAGCTATTTGTACTGTGTGAATTTAAACCAGCAGAATCAGGTTGGGACAGACATAGGTACAGCTGTCCTAGCTTAATCTACTGCCCAAGAAGTGTTAGAGTCTAAAAGTTTACATGGGATCAAGGAGGACTGGATAAATTAAGAGAAGAAAACAACCGAGGGTTACTGAACATACAGAATCTGCATCTGGCTTGGGAAGTTCCTGAGCTGAAAATGCTTGGGATCTAATAACATAGTAGAGAACAGTATCACTCATGCTTACCTTGTTCCTACTCACTTCTCTAAGCACTTCCTCGTGGCTACTGCTGGAATGAGGATATAGATTGGGCACAATGAACTTTTGGTCTGGTCCAGTAAGGCCCTTCTTGTATCAAACCCTAAACCCTAGTCTCTAACAACCTATCAGTCAACACCACCAATAAACAACATTAATGCTTTCACAATGTGCAGAGAAAGGGTAGGTACTTGCAGTGTTGTGCCAGGCAGTGAGAGAGAACAGGAGCAGAGTTCTCTGTCCTGTGGTTTCCAATGTCCCCAGGTGTCATGTGTGCTGAGAACACTCGTTCCCACTCAGGCCACTGTCCAAGCAAGACAGCCTGCTCTCACATGCTGGAGGCACACTGGCACTAGGAGGGGAAGCCACATGGACCAGCTCTGAACCTGCTCCCCACCTCCCCCCCCAGTCCTATTCCATATTTCAACTTAACTCTCTTCCCACCTGAAATGACCTAAGGAAAAATTATTTGAAATTTGCTCTGCTCAGTCTGGAACTCATCCAAAGAGAATGGAAACATTTCCATTTGTTTCATTAAGTTTTGGAACAGACCCTGTAACAGTGCATTCCAAGTTAGCATTCACGGGACATGCAGTTCAAATGTCTTCTCCCAAAGCTTGCAGTTGTGTGTAGGGTAGGAAAGAGAGAACTAATACGCTCAAACTCCTGAACCTAACCTACTGATTAAAGCTATGTGAAAACATTTGTGCTGGAGGCAAAGCCAGCTGAAAAGCCTCAGTAGTTCTGGCAAACCCACCAGTAAAAATATTTGGTAGACATCAACTTGATGGTTTTGCTATGATAAAGGACATTATTTACAAATGGAAACTGCTTTTTCCTTCGTTATTAATTTTGGGATTAATATGAAGCTTGGTAAAGTGGCAAATTTAATTTCAGTCTGTGCTTGGGCTCATTTCCTTTTCATATTCCCTTCCAACTTCTCACATTCGATGTCTATTTAATAATATTTGCCTACAGTGACTGAATGCCCTGAATTTCCTGGCAGAGCTGAGAAAGCAGTCTCTAGTATCTGTTCTATTATTTGTTCTGCATTTAAAATTCCTTCAGACCCATGTTGGCATTTGGATATTAAAGTGCAGGGTACATTACAGTCAGAACTATCTTCTAGTTACTGATACCTCCCCTCACAGACCCTTGACAAAGTCAATCTGTATGAATCCACCATACAACACTAAAACCATCTCATCCCTAGAGATAACATTAACACGCCACTGTTCTCTATAGAAACAGATTTTTCACACACATACATTTGTTTTTTCCTCCAAAATATCTAACCCATTTTTCTACTTTGAAAAAAATTATTATATCAGTTCCTTTTGCTCAGACAGATACTTAGTCATAGGTATTTGTTGGACTGGATTATACCTATCCATCCATGAACTATTTTATTGAATATCCATTAGCAGCACCTGTGCAAATAAGAGAAAAAGGGAAAATTTCACTATCACCAAAGATACTCCATGTTGATGGTATGAAAAAAGAAACTAAAATAGTTCTCGTGTTCCAGGCTGAGCCTGCAGGACAGGATGTCAGAGAAGCCTGTAGCCATTTTAAAAACTAACACCCTTAAACAAAACTTCTGGAGACATTATATTTTACCTGTCATAACACAGTGTTAATTCAGTAATTGTTCAGAGAAGGTCAACATGATATGGGCGTGTAATGTAGAAAGGAACCAATTTCATGTAAAAGAGTTAAATCGGACTTGAGATGTTGCATCAGCTTCTGTTCTTGCTTCTGTCTGACAATGATTCTCCATTTTAGAAATGTTCATCTACAATTGCTGTCTCTTGACTCCAAGACAAAGGAAAACTGACCACAACCCAGGCTTGGACTTGGACAAGTACTTTGTTGAAAATATGCGTAAATCTTGCAGAGGTCAGGAGAATACTCATGTGCAACCAAGTTAAGAGTGCTTACCTGTTTGCAAGCTCACTGGGAGTCTAACTGAATGCAGAATAATTGCAGAGAAACCAGTTATACTCAGTTGCTATAAAAATGCACATAGTAAACACTCTCAGCTCAGGTATTCCTGTGGCTTATCATGAATATGAATCTATCAATATTGCATCTAAACCACGCCTTGGCACCAGCCAGTCAACATTTGCATCTCTCGACATCTTTTAAAAATGAAGAATAAGCAGTGAAGTGAGCTGCAGCTACTGCTGAATAATGACAAATGCACAATCACTTCAACCTTGATGAATGAAAGTACCCCAGAATCCCACAAAGAAGAAAAACTGAACAGAATTCTGAAATTAAACAAACTATTCCTAAAATCTGTGGTTTGTTCATACAGTGCCACAACAGCGTTTACATAGCACTACTGTGGGTTTTCAGGAATTGAAAACACAAGTACCTGTAGCCTCCTCATGGCTTCCGAGTCATGATCAGCCTTCACTTTGCAAGCTACAAGCAACTGTGCTGTAGAAGCTGCCACTTGTTTGGCAGATGAGATGAGCTTCTCCTCACTAGCGTGGCCTTGTACCGAGGCATTAGCTGCTTCACAGAGATTGCTGGTTGCAGCTGCCACCATTCGGGCCTAGGAGACAGTAAAAAAAGTCATTGTTTCTCACAGGATATTATTTCTTCAGAGAAGGTGCTAGTTTTCCTTGAGAGAAGTAGTTACTCACAGCAGAAATAAGTCCCTGAGACCACTGTCCATCATCAGCTGCATTTGCAGGGATTGCTCCAACCTGAAAAAACAGTTCAGAGATGGCTTACGATGAAACAGAAAATGAAATTGGTTTGTCTCAGATTTAGACAAACAGTAATCCATAAAAAAAGGAAACACCTGCAGCTGTGACTGTGCCCAACACATACAGGAGCAGAAAATCCAACTGCAAGTTAGTTGTCAGAGCAAGTGTGTTTCCAGTGCCTACCTGCCTGCTCACATAGCGTCCAGCTTGCTATGCTGCTTGAATTGCCCCATCCCTGGAACATGTGGAGAAGTGCCAAAGTAATGATTGTTGCAGCCAAGACTTTGGCCTAAGCAACAGTTGAAGCAGTAGCTCCTAATCTCCTGGCCTTTGAAATAACTTATTTCTGTCTCCACAACACATTCGGATTTACATTGTTCCAGAGTCTTTTCTGATTCTGGCACTACAGGAAGGTACAGAACAGAAAGCTCCACAGGGAACCCCCCTGACAGCCTTCCTGCCTAATAATGGCATTTGAGGAGAGCACCCCATTTCTCTGCATGGCTCATCCACTGAAGTGTTCATGGCATCAGCAGTACTGGCAACAACCAGGAGTCAGTCTTCTTCCCATGTCAGATGAAAGCAATGACACAAAATTCTACAGCTGGTTGCCAGCCCCACACTCCCAACTGCCTGGGAGTTTTTGGGAGAGGCGCTGGAAGATGTGAAATGTAAACATGGTCCAGAAAGTTGTTGGATTTTAAAAGAAATGGAAATAGGGATTGGTGCATAATGAGGATCCCAGGGATTGGAACTGAATCATGAACAGAAGATGTGTTCGCTCATAGCTATGGTGACACTTTTGTATAACTGAGAAATCTGTTATACAAAAGAATATACAAGGTCCCTGAATTCTTTAGGTTTCAAGGTTTTCTTGCCTAATCATCCACTGAAAACATATTTTAAGTAGACCACAGATGCACGAGTCTAGTTAGTGGTGTCTGAGTTTTGTGTGTGTGCATGTGTCAGTGAGTGAATAGGGGGGTGGCGTGGAAGAAGATAGATCAGATGCAACTTCCCAGACTTCATCTATACTGCAGAAATGGAAATGGCTGCCTAATATGAAAATAATTATTTTGTAACAATTCCACAGGGGAAAGTAGTTACACTTAAAATTTCTTTAGCAAACTCTTCAACTACAGTACTGCACCAATTTGCCATGTAAGATACTTTCACAGCCTTTACCAAGCAATGTTGGAAATGTATTTGGGACAAGAACGTGCCTGGTCTGCACACATCCATGCAGTTGGGTAAGAATTTCCCACTGCCTCCAGACCAAAAGTCAGTGAGGAATCTCAGCCAGCAGTCCGCACAGTTTGCTGTTCAGTATGGAAGCAATAGATGTGGAGCAGATCAAACTTGTCCTTCCCACCTACATGCCAGCCATGCTTTTCTGGGGGGAGTCCATACCACATGCCTCAGAAAGTTTCTTACAAAAGCAAAACATTTTCCCTAGTAACAGTTAACAAAATCTTCCCACCAAGCAGGTTGGAGCCATTCTCTATGGGCAAGAATTTGGTCAGTCATTTTAGAATCCAGCTTCACGTACTTCTGGCTGACCTGGAGATACAGGCTACCAGAGCATTCAGGATACCCCATAATGACAATTGCCTAAGCACTAATAATTAGTCAGGAAAGAAGAGAGGGTTAGGGCTTCATTATTTCAGAAGTATCTTAATGGCTTTATTTATTCTAAGAAGTTATCATAATGAGGGGGTTTGCCACAAACAATTCTGAAGTTTGATGTTTCATTAAATTTTGATTTTGGTTGGGATTCCTTTCTTCCCTTAAGGACCACAGATCTTCCAAGGAGGCAAGAAACCATCAGTAAAAGCCTTTTGCTGCAAAAATTCCTGATCTTTCAGCAAGTTACTATGGAAGAGTGACGGATAAAGCAAAATGGCTAAATTCAGTAAAGCAGGCTGATACAGCACTGTATTTGACAGGTGGGCTTCTAATTAGAACAGCAAGCTACAGCTTTCCTCAAACAGACAGATTAAAGTGATTTTAGCAATTATCTGAACTTGAATGGAACAGGATGCAAGTGCTGTTAGCCTCAAGCTGAAAGACAGAAATGTACATGGGAGAGCAAAGAAGCCAGAACTACCCGAGGGAGATTCAGGGCTGGTACTAGGATAGAACACATTCTGTATTATTCTGTACAGCTTTACAACAGTGGTGGAGAGGAAAGTAAAGCAAGCTGTATGTCATAATGGAACTAAGTAAGAACAGGTCTTATCACATAAAACAAGACTGCACAATAATCTAAGCGAAACAGGTAAGTAAAAATTCTCATGTTTTTGAGTGTCCCCACAGCCAGATTTCAATGGGCAGTAATAACGTCTTGTTTTAGGCATTGCTGATAAGTTCCTTATGGTGGGTCTTTTCAAACAGTTACATCACTGTTGTTCTGAAACTAGTGCTCTGTGCTCCTGCTGGAACTAAAAGCACAAGCTCCGCAGGAATCCTAGCTGAAGTAGACAGCATAGTGCTTTTTTGACAGGATTCATGACACAGTCTGCTCAGAATAAAGAATGAGATGAAACTGGAAACCATAACTATACAACAACAATGATCCTATAACAAAGTGTTCTCACACGCAACATATCTGTCTGATGTTCAGATTTTAAGTTTCAAAGTATATGAACCAGGAAAAAACACAGTGACAGATATGAAATTAATTACAAAGACCTCAATCCTGACCAGACCAAAAGGACAACACATGTTATGAGCATGCTTTCCATTGGTCCCAAGAATAATTACAAGCATGTCCACTTAAATGTACTGAATTTGCAAGCAGGCCTGTGTCCCCACTAAATCAGATGGCGAAACATCGAGGGCACAATTTGTGAGGCCCTTTGCTATTCTGGTCCAGAGTGGCATTTTATACTGTGTCATTTGTTTTCGGGTCCCCAAGCTGTCTTTTGGGACTATACATTACTAGCTTGAATCACAGATCTTCACAAAATTAAAAAAAATGCATAAATACAAAAACTCCCCACAGCTGAAACATGTCAAGAGCCAAACACTTGATTATACTTGTGAGGTTTAAATAAATATAATTATGGTTTGTTTTTTTTTTTTAACAGAACCAAGGCCTGGGCCATCTATTGTGATGATCAATGGAAAGATTTAGATTCTCATTAGTCATTCCCAAGCTTCTCTCCTACTGTTTTAACAGAGAACAGTTAAAAGACCAGATGAAGTTTTGATGCTTTCTCCCCTTACTGTTGCTACTTGCCCTGTTTACCCACCTTTCCCTGTGCCACCAGTTCTCTCTGGGCTGCTGAAGCTGACTTCACAAGGGCACTGGTAGCAGCTGCAATGGATTTAGCTGCTTCCAGGATCTGTTCTTCGAAATCCAGAGTCTCATCTGCTTGCTATAACCAAGAAAGAACAATGTCACACATTATTAATCTGAAAGCAGCTGTATTTTCAAGATTGAGGTTATATACAAAGTGAGACAAGAAGATTTTGGAACACATCAGTAAATTCAATGAGACCTATAACATAATTTTATGCAAAGGAGTTTCATGTGGACTAAAGCTGGGAGTCAACATAACTGAATTTAAATATTAAGTGGCCCTTGTGGCTGCTCACACATGAAATTGAGTATCACACAGATACTTGAAGAATTGCCTTCAACTTTCTAATACACTACCTCCACTAGGGCTACTCAAAACTACATTCAGAAAAGTGCAGGTCCGAAAATAAATTCTTGTTTTTACATATTGTCTTGTAGTGCTACAGTACCAGCTTTCAAGATTGCTAAACTAGGTACACCATTTTCTAAATACTTAAAAAGACTTAAAGCATTAGAAAAGATCAGTGATAAATGTATATTGTCTCATTCACCTGTACTAAGAAATGTAATGTAGATACTAGGCAAGTGCATGGATTTCACAGCTTTTGGTAAGAGCTGTCATTTCACAGTGAGCAGTGTTGTGAAGCAGTCTAGTTTAGTCACCTTGGAGATACGATGTTCCAAAGGTCTGTCTGGAACACTTCAGTCATCCAAATGTGTCTTTCAACAAGCATGTGCAAATAGAGGGATCAGCTGTTCCTAATAGGGGTTCTTGCTATTTAAAATGCAAATCTATTGTTCCATAAAACAACAACTTCCCTGACTTCCTAATCACTTAGATACTGAAAACACTTATCCACCTAAGCACGCTTACTAGCTTCTGAACAGTTAACAAAATAGATGGAGATAAATGGTTATTGTTCTTTTAATCAGAACCAGGCCTGAGCCGTGTATTCTGATTGTTTGTTATACAAAATAAACCAACAGAAACTGGTTTAAAAATAAAAGCCTACCACAATCCAATGCAGTATGACCAGTAGGACTAGTGGATACAATACCAGAACAGACCACCTTGAGAGAGATGAGGCTTTTTGAAATACAGGTTTCTTCCAGCTTACGCAACCACAGTGTTCTTGTGTCAAATAACTAACTTGAGGAACACCAGCTAAGTGGGCTTTGAGTTAGAAAACTGGGCAATTCATTTGCAAGTCTAAGCACAGCCACCTAAATTTAAGTCAGGTTTAGTTCTCCTGATACTGCAACCTGATGAAGTAGTAGTCATTCATAAAATAATAGAAGATAATTATGAGTAATTGAAAATCATTACAAAATGGCACATCAAGCCATGCTCAGACCTACAGCACTAACTGCCACATAACTAAAACAAAGACCAGAGGATGAAACCGTAGCATCCCTAGAGACCAGAAAAACCAAGTGATCTGAAAATAAAAACTGATGTGTAGATGAAGTTGTTTGGCACATAAGGTTTTTCTTATCCTTTAGGAAAAGCCACCTAATTCAAGGAAAAGTATTTGTCCTGCCTTGCCATTGGGCTAATCCCATCAACTAAAGCACGTTTTTTTAATAAGAGTAGAAGAAATTGTTTTGTAAAGTGTGCAAGTCACGTTCCACACACATTTTTGGCAATGCTTGCAATGTAACATCATGACCATTATTATATCTAAGTGTTAATCACATTGGTCCTGAATTTATGGAACAGGCCTCAAGTCTTATTTATAAAACTCATACTTCAATCATGACAAAACAAAACCAAAGAGACCAAATGGAATTCAGTATAATCACTATCAGATTTCTTTCCATTATTACAAATAATGCATTGTTGACTTTAAGTTGACTAGACTTAAAGTGAAATACCAACAAAAGTACCGCTGGATGATAGGCAATTTAACAGACTCTTACTGCACTTCCACTTTTAACAGACTGTTATTGCACTTTTATTTTTGTCCAAGGGTCCCTGTTATTGAGAGTTTTAAAGTTTTCATTTCCAACATAACCAAATATATTATGTATATTATTCTTTATATGTCAATGTTGTCAGGAATTCAAACATAAGTGAGCATTTCAGTATCTGCTTAAAGGAGGTGTCACTCTTCCACAAAGTTCAATAAAATGCCCATAGCCATACTCTGATCTATTAGGGAGCCACGTACGTGCCCAGATAGTATCCAATTTGCAAAAAAAACCAGCCACCAAGGGGATGCTGAAGAAAAGTAGTTGTTTGAACTCAGTTCAGCATAGTGAGTGGAATAAATAGTGCATGTAAGTGCTAAGCAAAAATGACTCCTTTCAAAGGAAATGCAGAGAAATCACATCTTGCATTGCTGAGAATGCTACTGTACCATGGCTGGATTCACTTCCACTGCAGAGCAGCAGGTAAAGCTCATCAGGAAGACAGATAGCTAAACCTTAGTATCTCATCACATAACAGGTCAATTCCCCTGGTACCAAATGAATTTCTTTCCAACTATGTTGAAATCTGGGGTGTGGGGAGAAGAAAGCACACCCTGAGTTTCTCAGACTTCCAAATCCTGCATTTCCTGTCATCTCACAACTTCTTCTATTTCTGGAAAAAAGAAAAATTTTCTATTGACAGTTGATCCCTTCTGCGGAGAATTTACTTCTGAAGCAGCCTTACACAGCTCTCAAACTGTGGAACTTCTGTTGAGTTTTCATCTTTTCTAACAAATCCTTGTTTTCTAGTCCTTCCCTGCAGTTTTCCCTTCAGCATTCTCAGGTAGGACATCGAAGGGCTGAATGCTCCTGTTTGAAATGGAGAAGCAGGCACAATGCTCGGTCGGTGCTGTGGGTATGTTTACCTGCCTGTAGTCTCCAAAGAGCATTCCTTATCAACAAGGACACACAGCAGCCCAAGACTGAACACGGCAAAATGCCTTACAAGAGAAATAATTCTTCTACCCATTCCCATTATTAAAGAGTGTGTCCTGAACTGTCTTAAGGTCACACTCATCAAAAGTACCCTCACAACATGAGTCAGTTCACAGCCTTCGTGAACAAGTCACGAGCAATTAAGTGATACATGGCAGAAAACACTTCTTTAGAAAACCAGATCTAGGAGACAAGTGATCAGCTTCTCCTTCCTCAAGTAGCCCCCATGAAGATCAGCATCTTTTTTTCCACAAGCTTAAACTACTAAGTTGTTATTGACTATGTAGAGGTATAAATGGGTTGGAACATGAAGTCACCGGAACAGACAAACCAAAATTATTAGGCTAGCTACAAAGTCTGTATCCTGAAAGTGTTGATTGCACCATTAAAAAAATAGAATTGGAGATGTTTTTGTACTGTATTGTAATCAGTTTTCTATAGAATCTCCATTATTAGGGGTAGCATAAATAAAGTCAGGGTTAATAGGAGAACAAATGAGGCCCCAATCCCACTGCTAAACAGTAGAAAAAAATTACAAAAGACAAACCATTTTATTTTGAAGCAGCTCTCATCTTCTATTTCATAAAGAGAAAACCAATATGGGCAAGGTACTGCACTGAGCCATGGAGAACACATTAACCATTTCAGTGAAAGTCAGTTCTTGGCACAGCTGCTGCTCACTGCTATAAAAGGCCCTACACAACTTTTGAGTCCCTCCAAGAGCAACTCTGCCGATAAAGGAACCCTTCATGTATCTATTTTAAATCAGATTAGGAGTTTGCAGGAAATCTTCTAAACCTGCTTGTGAATGAATGTACTCCTCCATATTGCCTTCTACTATGTTAAAACCCCCGGAGACAGGGCAGGACACTGTAGGAATATGTTTGATATATAGTTGGATTAAATAACAACCTAATATATCAAACATATCACACAGAGTCCTGCAGAAAAAGGCATCCAGGTTTGATTCATCTTGGGAAAAAAAAAAAAAAGGACAAACTGCTAAGAGGTAACAGCAGGGAACTCTTATTGACTACTAAAGACACTTGTGTTTGAAGGCATACGCCTGCACAGAAGCACGAAGAGCATACCAACAGAATAGGGTAGGTCCAGCAATGCTCTCTGCGGTTGTACCTCATCTACCGTAACTTTTTCCTTTAAAGTGCTTTTTCCAGTATTAGTGAAGCATGTAGTTTTTATTAGACAAAATGTTTTTCTTCCTCAAAAAATTACTAATTTTGGGGGGTTGTTATTTTACAGACAGTGCCATATTTGCATAACAGGAGGAATATATGGCTGCATTCCAAAAATGGAAAATGGAACAAAAGAGTTCACAGTCAGGAAAAACATAATTGTGTTATTTAAAGGAAATATGACAGCCAAAACTCGCTTAATGAACAGTAAAGATCTCACTGCTTCACAGATCATTCCCCACCTTGAACACTGCAATGAGAATACTGAATGGGCTGTGTGCTACAGGAAGGAGTAACAACAGCTACTTAGGAGACTCCTCAAAGTGTTTGCAAGATACAAGCTCAGAAGACAGACAAATATTAATAGGGTATCAATGGGACAGTGGGCTAGTGGACTAAGAATTTTAGGAGCACATTTCACCAGCAGCCTGATGACCAGGATTTAAAGGAAGCATCATACAATAAAACATGGGCAGCAGTTAGCAGGTCTGTGAATTTATTAGAGATTGTTCTCTGGGAGAAGATGATTCCCAGTAGTAGAAAATTAAGACATCTCATGCTATTGGTCTCAGTCTAAGACATCAAGAGGGTGTGATACATGCAAAAATATGAAAACAAGGAAAAGAATTTTAAAAATCCAAAAGTATAAAAAAAATTAAGTGGGACAAATTTAGTGGGACAAATGAGGAAACCCCTATGTTCAACTTTTTTTTTTTTTTTTTTTTTTTTTTTTTTTTAGAGGTAGCAGACAAACTGGAACACACAAAGATGAAAATTTCAAGCCTAACTCAAATGACTCCCACTCCCTGCCCCAATAACAGAAGCTTACCCAAAAATTGAGAATCGGCCACCAATTAATAATGATGAAGATGATGGACTTCTTGCAGGCAACTTATTCTAAAATTGCCAACTAAGGACTTCTCTGCAAGTTCACTCGGTGATGATTACTGTTAATCAAAGCAGGATATTGGTCTAGTTGGACCAGCAGCCTGTTTCGTTGTAGAAGATACCTACTATTCTGGCATTTCACAGAGTAAGCATAAGAAAAAATCAATTGTATCAACCCCCTGACCTAGTCTAGGCGTTCACACTATAACACTGTGTGTGTTGTCCAAGATGAGCATCAGACAGAGCCTGTGCAAAGCAGGAAATCCTACTCTGGGAGGATACAAGCTACAAGTCTTCAGTAGAAAAAGGGGTATTTGAGCCACTCTGTGATCTTCCTAGTACCTTTACTGTGTATTACAATCCATATTGTGAAAGGGATTAAACATCTAAAAAAGGATGTAAAGGCTGTTTAAATCCCAAATTAAATAAACAGTTGGATATGGATTTTAGTTTCAGAAAATGACAAATAAACAGACAAATAAATCACAGGCAGACTGCATACTCAACATGTTAAATGAGGAGCAGGTGTGAGAACTGTATTCACTGTGAAATTACAATGACCCTGTGGTAGCTTAGATGTTGGAAGGAAACTACTCCAGGGTTACCAGGCAACACACATATACTATTGTGCAGTGATTGTATAGAAAAGGTGATGGAGGACTCTTCCCCTCAGACTGGGTCTGTGTCCTCTGCTCTGTAGAGTCTCATTATAAAGGTCCATTATTCTTTATAAACGAAATGGATGTACTTGTTAAAAAATGCAGGACAAAGAGCATTTCTTTTTCATGCGCTAATTTATTCCCATCACTAAGCAGGGGGAGGGAGAAAGTCCTCAAAGAGTGAAGCTACCAAGGACTACTTCATCTGATGTTGCTGAATGACAAAATACCACCCTGCACCGAAAACAATCATCCAACACTGAATGTTCTTGAGGCCCTGCTTTTTAGCAAGACTTCTCATTAGCTTTACTTAGAAAACTGTTCTGCACCTACAGAGCAGCATAATCACGGAAATAGATACATCGGCCTTTCCTGAAGTCACTTACACAGCCCAAGCATGATTTTCATTGTAAAGAGATCGAATTCTAGGCAACATGATAATTTCTTCTAAAACCTGCCTGTTGACACAAGGCAAAAGGTAGCAATTCTCTGTGATCCAGTCTTGTGAGCTATGCATACAACCATAAGTCACAGCAGTTTCATACATTCCCTCTGTACCATGCATGGAAATATTTGGTTTAATTTTATATTACATATTCAGAGACACGTTTGAAATGACCTGGCAACATGCAACACTACTTGCTTTCATAAAGAACTGTAATTTGTTTTCCTTCAGGAAAATTAAATAGAAATGGTCATACCACGTATGTGATTTGATACTGAAGCAGCTACTCTTTTAGCATGGCATAAAATGCTAGGTTTTTAATCTTAGAAAATCCTGAAGGTCTTTTACATTCTGCTGAATCTCTTCTGTGTTGCTGCTGCTTTCTCCTGCTATACTCCACACATTCAGATGAGAACAAACGGTCTTCAAAGGAAAGCAAGTGAGAATGACTTTTCACACCAGTAAAATGTGTTTGGAATCAGAAAAGTAATCAATCATCAGTAAGGATGCTGTAACTCTTAAAAGCATTTCTAACATTTGGCTTTTCTTCCTTTGCTTGCTCATGGCTGGTGCTTGACTCACTTCCTGAACAGCATCTTTTTTACCGTCTTCCTTCAGGGACAAGTTCCACCCAGTGCAGTGTCTACTGGCACCGAGACTGATCCCAAGTTTGATTCCTTATACCATTGTCACGGACAGTAACAAAGCATACACCAATATATGGGCTATATGCATCTTCTGCTTTATTAACTTCTAAGAAACAATGGGGATGGACACTCACCTTTGGCTTGGCTCTTGGTTTCAGCTGCTCTAATTTCTTTGCTGCAGCCTCAATTGATGCTGCAGCCCCTAGTAGCTCTGCCTCCGCAATGACTGTTGGGTCTTCTGGATCCACCCACTCTGTCCCTGAAATTAATGGAGACAAAGACAATAACTCCAGCGGTGCTGTGTGCTGCCATTCAACCAGGTTGATTCACAATCACACTTCAAGCGTCAAATCCAGCATGCACATTGCAGAGAGCTGGTTTTAGTACCATAATGGCATAAAACCACTGTAGTTTATGCCACTGAGAACAAAATGTAGGTCAGATTAAAAAAAAGTATTTATCAGGATTATTCTGTTATGAAAGTAACTTAATTAAGAACTGTGTAAGCAAAGAAGTTTTGAAAAGGGATACTGGGAACAAAAGCAGCTGTCACTCAACTTTCATTTACTAGAGTTCTTACTAAGATGGTTTCTAACTCGACCAAGTTGTAAGGTAGATTGAGAAGTCTGAATGGTAAAGAGGACATGTTACAGACAACAGATACTCATCCACAGCACACTTTTCAGAGTCTCTTTTTTGGCAGTGGTTAGAGATGAAGCTATTATTGACTGAAGAAAGCATGCTTTCGGCAATGTGTTTTTAACAGCAGTGTAGAGAAGGCCAAAGCAATTTCTACAACATATCCAAAAGTCAACTTTTTATTTTTTGTTGAGCTTTTGGCATTTCTCTTGGCTCAAAGAAAATTTTGTAGGTCCACAAAATGAATACTTGGCTGGAGGTGATCTCAGATTTTTGGAAGTCCGTGCATTATTATTTTCAATTTCATAACATTATTCTCTGGATGACAAGATTCAGAAAGCATCCATGTTTTGGATTGAGGGAGGCAATGAAACAGCCATAAGGAAAATTAGATGGTGGGAGAAAAGGAAACCAGAGAGAAAACTTCTAAGGTCATAACTACTAGGGGCAAGGGGAGGAAGTGGCGTCACAGATGGAAACAGAAAAGGATGGGAAACTGTATACACCAGGCAAAGGAAGACTAAGCTAGAATGAAAAAAAAAGAAAAAAACCCCCAAACTTAAGGCCTTGTTAAACTTACTGAAACTGGATCAGAAACTTTGGGTGAACCTAATATTAAAATATCAACTGAAACATTAATCATTTTTAGGGAAGAACAACTGGGCAGAAGGATACTGGCACTTTGCATCAGGAACAGCATAACCCATGTCTGATTCATCAAACATCAAAGGAAATAACTGTGAATGCCTATGGGTCAACATTGCGCCAGCTAAAGAATGAGGCAGTTTCTGCTACAGACAACCAAATCACAGGAGAATACAGAATGACTGGCTCCTATATATAATGTATATAGATCTATATATATAGCTGAAGTCCATGGTACTGTAATCCTAAGGAGCTGTTTCATGCTGCTAATCCCTATATAGTATGCATATATGCATTTTATATCAAATATCAAAACATTACCAGAGACAATTTCTCAGCTCAAATAGTGTACAAGATGAAAGAATTCTACAGTAAACCCTAACACTGGCAGATAAGCAGGGAAAAAATATTTTTAAAACAGGCAGCCTGTATAAACACGGTCAAAACCAAACTTGTAAAAGGTAGCAGTTCCCCTTCAAAAAAAGGCATTTCAGAAAGTTGAAAATATCTACATGCTAAATTGGTTAGGAGACAGAATTTTATCATGTATCTATAAATGAAAATTAGGAATAAAACTGGGAATGGTTAAAAAACATTCTACCTTCCCCAAAAACTTCTAAAGTGAGTAAGGAAAAATCCTCTACAGGCAGTAAGTGACAAAAAGAAATAAAAGGTGACTTTTTATTTTCATTAATATGAATTAAAATTCAAAACATACTGTAAATGAAGAAATATCTCCAAAGATGAGGACAAGAAAAATATTTTGAAAAAGCATGTAGGGAATAGAAAAATTCTGATACAGGCTTGGCTTGTTAGCAAATGAAAACAGCAATTTCAAAACATAAATAAGAGTGCAGAATCATAGAATCATTAAGGTTGGAAAAGACCTCAAGAAGGGCAACGAAGCTGGTGAAGGGTCTGGAGCACAGGTCTGATGAGGAGCGGCTGAGAGAGCTGGGGGTGTTTAGTCTGGAGAAGAGGAGGCTGAGAGGAGACCTCATCACTCTCTACAACTGCCTGAAAGGAGGGTGCAGGGAGGGGGGTGCTGGGCTCTTCTCTAAAGGAACAAGTGATGGGACAAGAGGAAACGGCCTCAAGTTGCGCCCGGGGAGGTTTAGGCTGGATATTAGAAAAAATGTCTTCACTGAAAGAGTGATCAGGCATTGGAACAGGCTGGCCCGGGAAGAGGGGGGGGCGCCACCCCCGGGGGACGTGTAGATGTGGTGCTTCGGGACATGGTTTAGTGGGTGAGGTGGTGTTGGGTTGGACTTGATGATCCTTGGAGGCTGAAGAATTCAGTAAATTTACCTGAACAGGGAAAAAGCATAATGTAGATCACTGTTATATCAAACAGAGTATATATATTATCACACAGAGGAAAAAAAGAAACCCATAAGAAAATAACAAGGGTTTCCCATATATGAAAAGTGTTTAATCAGGATTCTTTTCCAAGGAATGTGTACTGATAAAGGCAGGAAATAACTGAGGAAAACCTGCAGTGTATATTATACAGAATATCAGAAAAAATTAGTATAGTGTTCTCTGGCCTAGCTTAGGAAAGAGTAAGTGAACAAACACGAATTTACTTGAAGCCTTGGGGAGAGGGGGGCAGAATTTAAAAAAAAGTTATTACAATGCTTTATTCAAAATAATTTACTGTAGCATTCTATTAGCTATGAGATTAGACTGCTTATATGCTTTTGTGATGGCTGTGAAGATTTCTTTGGACTATTCTAATGTTCCCAGTAAATCTGGTGGTAAATGTGCTTCAGCAGCAGTGATGTAACATTTAATAGCACCACCCTTAATACGTATTCATCTCATTTAAAATGTAGAACATTGGAAATGTCATCCTAAGAGTTCGCATGCATCACTGGATAAAAATTTTACTAGGGAAGTGAGTATCTGAGAAAAATATCACTTATCTGTTATAAAAACAGTGAACTTCCCCTAAGCAACAGAATTCGTTGCTTATTTGAGTGCTGAATTTATGTTTGTCCACAAGCTGTTCAATTCTAAGAGTTCAGGAAATCACCCAGACAATTTTCTGTTAGTTTCACTAACATACTTGTCAGGGCAGGACCCAGACAGAGGACTGTAAACACTATAGACCTAAAACTGACATCAGCACTAGAGGATGAGAATTAATTCAGTAAGATGATGGTATACCCTTTTATTTGAAGCTGGAAAGCAACTATCACTGCAAAGCAAAGGATGTATTTTGACTGAACAAACAAGAGTGTAAGCAAAGGAACCAGCCATCTGATTGCAACTCAGCCACCAGTTCGAGAGGAGTGATAACTGTATTTTGTTTTCTGCTACCCTGGGTCTTGAGTGCTGTGCTTGATGTTTCCATCTTCAAAGGCGACATGATTTTTAGATGACTTATGACCAATCATATAAGTGAGAGGATCAACTAGACACGTTTACCAACACTATGAACAAGTGAATACCAGCAGAGAAATTAACAGAGTGGAAGCAGGTGGTACCAAGACACTTAGAACATACTAAAAGGGTTTTTGTTAAGTTTTTGGATCATAATCTCTGGAGTAAAAAGCACACTGTACTGGTAGGCAGGCTGCCCAGCTCACCTTTCATTGCTTCTGCTGATTGGATGAGCTCTGTGACAGCACCAGCAACCCGCTTGGAGAAAGAGGCCAACTGATGCTTTAGTTCTGGAGTTGGTTTTTGAAGGATCTAGACAAAAAGATGAAATGTAATAATGCATATTAGTAAGGATTCCAGAGAATGCTGGAACATTCCCAAGGCACACTAATGAAAGGTTTATTTTGTACAGCAATCAGCTGAGAGAAAACCTGAGTCCAGTGAGAGAAATACAATTATCTGTGAACCACTAGGAGCAAAGGCTTACACTGCAACCTCTGATGCATACTAGGAAAGTGGCACTCCCTTGCATTTCTACAGGAACTGACAATATGGTCTGGAAGTTCTCAGTACTGAAATTAGGACAAAATTCTCCAAAACAGAGGCGCATGTGTGAGTTATGTGGGAGGAACATGCAGCTTTAGCACTCCATTCTCGGATATTATATTTATTATACTTACCCATCAGACTTAGTCTTTCTAAACTGCTGGAGAGGAGCTGATTTTCTAACATTAAAAACCAGTTGGTCACTATTTCTAAAAATAGAATTACAAAGCTCTGCAAGATAGTGCCTCTTCCGGAAAAAAACAGCAGTTTTTTGGTGAACACAATGGAAATGCCAAGCCTGGGCAAGACCCTTAAACAGAAGGGGAAGAAATACACCTCTGAACTGAATTTGCATCAAGTATTAAGCCGTGCTTCTTCAAATGGAAAACAGTCAGACATTCAGTCAGTGAAGTTTAATTCTTCCCCTGAACAGGCTCAACATTTGCATTTTTAATTCCCATATTGTAAGGAGAAAAAACACTAAGTATGTACACTTAAAAACTACTTCTGAGAGACAGTGATAGCTATATATAGACAGATTAAAAGCAAAACAAGAGGTTGGGTCTTGAAAGTCACATTCAGGTGTGCATTTTCTTAATGTTTTCAAAAACTCCCCCACAACGCAGCTCTGAAAACTAGGTACACATTGAAAATACATTTTATCTTGTTGCAAGTGTGTTTCTCATTTTTCAGTGAAATGCCTAAGCCCTTACTTTGACAGAATAAACTAAATTGGATTGCGTTCTTAACTTTGCCTGGTGTGAACTCTGCCACGCAAGGAATTCTATCTCTCTGGAACTGCCATCTCAATGTATGGGTGGACTGGTCTCCTGCTTCCTAAGGACGATCTTTAGTCAACTAGTTTCCACAGTAAATGTAAGTACATGAATCCTTAATAGCTAAACAATCTGCAATGTAACAACACAGTCATAACCAAGGTTTGTACCCTGCATAACCCCGTAGTACAGCAGAACTTGAGCACTGAGCATCTCAATGGTTATCTTCCCACACAAGCAAAAATGTCCAAAAATACAGCAATGTGGTCAGGACTATAGCAAAGAATAACATTTTCTGCTCCAGCAACTGTGACACCAGTGCTACCTATGATAGTGGTGACAATGTTGGAATTAAACAAATGGATACAGATTTTGAAACTAGGCGGTTTACAAACGGCATTGTTTTAAAGCAAATTCAGAGAACTCACAGCAGATTCCCAGCCCCTGCAGAGTCAGGTACAGGCATGCTATGAGAACAGCAACAACAAAAGCTTCAGACTTCTCCTTAACTCAGCGTGCATCAATACTGAGTAACATGGAGCATATGAATATGTGAGGGGGCAGGTCAGCCTTCAACCTTGCTAAGAATACAACTTACAAGTTGTTTTATATGAATTTGTGTATGCCCGACAGCTTTAATCAGTGTGTTCCTGTGGCCTACCACTAGCTAGCTGATTAGAGAAATATTCCTTTGAGCATTCAAGTCAGTTTTGTGCTACTTGCCCAATGCAGCCTCTGCACAAGTCAATACACTGGCTTATGAAATCTTAGATACTACATCTGAGAACTCTTGCACCTAAAAAGTATCATCTTCAAAGGAGTATGGCTGCTGAATGGTATTCCTTGGCATCCCTGTGTTGAGACATCCATGCAATCTAGACACCCGAGCCTGACGACGAAGGGCATGACTGAGCTTGTATCACAAGGTGGCCCATGGACTAATCAGATTTCCCAGAGATGATCAGTGTTTCTGGAGGTTATAAATTAAGTGTGATTGTAGACCTAGGGGTTCTAAACTACCAGAGTAACAGGGATCTGGAAGGAACAGGACTGTCTGATGCTGAAACCACCTTGCTATCGTTTTTTTTTATCTGGGCAAACCAAATCAGAGATAGGATGTTAAGCTAGCAAGACGGTGTATGGCACGAGAAAAACTCAAGTAACCACAGAACAAGCAAACAAATCACTTGGATTTCATCTAGACTGCGTGTCTGCCACAACTCCCAAGAGTCAGAACTCAGGGGAAAGAGGACAGAAGTCCCTAGAGCAAAAAGTCTGCCAATACCTTGGTTCAATGCTCCTCCAATCTTCTTTTCATCTGCTTTCCAGATCCTGTTTACATTTGTGGAGCATAACATGGATGGATTATGTGTGCACAGACTAGTTCTAGACAGACTTCAGCAAAGAGTCAAGATTAAGTTATCATTCCATGCATCTTTTTTTCCATGGAGCATAGCATGGATGGAGTATGTGTGTACGTGACTAGTTCTAGACAGACTTCAGCAAAGAGTCAAGATTAAGTTATCATTCCATGCATCTTTTTTTCCATGCAGGTATTAAGCTCTTCAATTGTGGTCAGTCAGTCTTGTAAGGCAGCAAACGCTGGGGGGGATGGGAATTTCTTACAGCTTTAGGGGCCTGAAAGTAAAGCAGCTTAAGGTAAGAAAGGCCTGTCCGCTTTCGTGGAGTAACAGGCCTTTCTTACCTGAAGCCTCTTTACTTAAGCAGAGAGAGAAAAAGAAAATGAGCAAAAATTGACTCAAGTCTTTGGTCTGTTCTGGCATATAGTTTGAAACAAGTGCTATGACTGAGTTTGGGAGACCACATTTGAAAAATTCACCAAAGTACTTCTAAACTAAAAACGGATCGTACATCTAATGATAAATTACTTAATGCTGTGCAGCTCTAGGAATTACATTAACAGGTTCAATCTTTTTTGAACTATTTTCCCTGCTAGTGGCAAGCATAACTATGACTTCTGTGTTACATATATTTCAATGAGTTGATGTAAAGGATGAGACATGCTGTATTTTCAGCAGTAAAGCACACTTGGATGAGCTAATCTGCAGTTAGTGGTGATGAGACATGCTGTATTCTCAGCAGTAAAGCGCACTTGGATGAGCTAATCTGCAGTTAGTGGCTTCAAATTTTGGTTTCAGAGATGGTAATATGTCAGCTTAAAGCCACGTAAAAAAAAATTGCTTGCATGCATGAAGCTGCTTGCTGATTTAAGTCACCTCCAGAAACTTTCTGTAATATGTCAGCTTAAAGCCACTTAAAAAAAATTGCTTGCATGCATGAAGCTGATTGCTGATTTAAGTCACCTCCAGAAACTTTAGTATCTCAGAAATGTTAGTTCAGACACATATAATAGGAATGTAATAGGAACAGATGAACAATATATTATGTAATAATTATGTGTGTATTGCTTCCTACAAATGTAATAGGAACAGAAGAACAATATATTATGTAATAATTATGTGTGGTCAAGAAAAGACAACTGATAGCAGGATTTATGAGTTTGGATTTGAGTGGAGAAGTTTTATGCAGAGCTTTGGGGGTCTCATGTCCAGCATGAGTTGTAGAGCTCTTTGTGAGGCAGTGCTGGGTTGGGTTTTGGGATGGCATTGAGTAGGTGCCTCTTATTTTCCTGGAATCAGAAAGTGCTTTCATAAAGATTACGTAACCTCTTTGGGCTGGGGGACAGGAGTGTGTCTAATATGTCTGATGCTTACAGTGGGCTTAAAAGAATACTTAAGTGCCTTATTTTAATTTCATTCTAAGGGAACGTTTTTAGGTCAGGACCCATACTGCCTCCAGACCTGATCCAGAATTCAGTCCCATTTAAGTACATCCAGTCTTCCTTCTGTCTTGGAGTTTGACCTGAAGTACTGGGTTTACTTTAGCTTGCTTTTCCTGAATAACAAAACTGTTCACAATCTTGTGACAAACTGATAAAAAGGTGTCACTAGCAGCCTCTATAGAAAGAAGTCAGAGAGATTATTCTCCTTGGAAAGGATCCAGTATGTGCATGTAGACGACTCCTTACCAGGAGAACATGTTCCAGGAGTTCCAGGTATCCCAGAGTACATTCTGTTCCAAAGCGCAGGGCTCTCTCGCGAACTTCTTCACTCACATCTGGGTGATATGATGCTTGCTGAGGAGGCAAAACAACATTAGTATCCCAAAACTACACCCACAAGAGGAGGTTAACACAGAGAAGATAGGAGAAGGAGAAAGGAAGAGATGTTTCATAAAGTGCAAATGACACTTTCTTTAGCTTGAGGGCCAGCCATTTCTGCTGTAAAGGTGTAAGAAAACTGCACTCAGAGAACAACAGAGCTCCAGTTCTGAGAATGGCATTGGAAACACTTTCCCTTTTATTAGCACATCCTCCTGTCTGGGTGTGCATCTGCAGTCTTTCCTAGTGTCCTTCCTTAGGTATTGTCAGCAGTAGTACTACTTTCTGCCAGTTGAGAACAAATAGAAAAACCCTTGAAGAATCATCTGAAAATACAGGAGGATTTTTGATTTAGTGTAATGAAAATGTATGACTTGGAAAACATCTTGGGGCTGGAATGGGCTCTTTGGTTGTGTGTATACTGTTCTACAGTGCAAAGGTTATACTCTTGTGGCTCTTCTTTTTTACTAATATCAAGAAAAATAAAAATTGTAAGTCTAGTTTTGCTACTCAAAAATGGCCATTTACATCTTATGTTAGAAATATGCTAAAACCATGTTTTTATTGTAAGCCTGTACAGCCTACCATCAAGGAATGAAAGCATAAGTGGCCATCTGGTTTAGAGACCAAGGCACGGGACTGGCCCCAGAAGACTTGGAGCCAATCAGTGGTCAACCACCAGCCCAGTGCATGGGTCAAATGCAAGTCTCTCGCTTTTATCTTGCAAAATGGAGGAGGAAAGACTATTTTGTTCCTTATAGAAAACCTTGCAAATGATGGATGAAAAGTGCTATGGAAGTGGAAGGAAAGATACCATTTTGTTCCTTATAGAAAACCTTGGAAATGATGGATGAAAAGTGCTATGGAAGTGCCAGGATATTGTTATTCTACATGAGAGAAACAAAACCCAATCCAACCAACCAACTCACCCAAAAAACTGTTAGCTGCTTTTTGCTATCTGGTAAACACATTGTAAGAAGGAAAGATACCATTTTGTTCCTTATAGAAAACCTTGGAAATGATGGATGAAAAGTGCTATGGAAGTGCCAGGATATTGTTATTCTACATGAGAGAAACAAAACCCAATCCAACCAACCAACTCACCCAAAAAACTGTTAGCTGCTTTTTGCTATCTGGTAAACACATTGTAAGTACCAACCAACCAGCTCACCCAAAAAACTGTTAGCTGATTTTTGCTATCTGGTAAACACATTGTAAGTAAAACCATATTAATGGCTTTAGCTTGAGATAGGGATTTAATGCAGCAACAGGCAGTGCTAGAACCATCTGTTTAAATACAGAGATGAAGCAGCAGAGTCGGTTCTGTGACCTTGTAAGGAATTCCACTAAGGATAATGTCTGACATCTGATATAAACCTAACTAATTAAACCATTTTATTTTTAATAAAAAGTGAAAACTGCAGCTTCTTCAAGCCTTGTATTTTCTAAAATAAACTTCTAGGGAACTTTTTGATTGAACAGAGTGCTAATTGTGAACAAGTGAAACTTCCTAAAAATCTTTAAAATTAGCATTTCCTCTCACAGACATCTCCTTTCACCCCTGCACCCTCACATCTTCCATTGGGACGAGGGATTATCTCACTGCTGGTTTATTTTGAGCCCTTCCTGCATTCCTCAGCATCCCAAGCAAGCGCTGGCATCAGCTGGCTCTGGAGCTGGTCTATGCACTCCCTCTGCCGGACAGTTCAAGATCAGCAGAGCACGGAAACGGTTCTCATTAGCCACCTTCATCTCGTCACTTGGTCAATAAATAACCTGAAGGGGAAGGAGATGGGAGGAAATAGGACAGAATTTTCCTCATCTCCATCATACTTCAAACAAGCTCCAGAAACCCAAAAAATCCAGAACAGATTATTTTTCATTTTCAAATAGGGCAGAAGGGTCCCCCAGTGTTTCCTATGAATACATTATAAGCACCCTGATATGCCTCTTCCACACTTAAGCATTACTGTTACACATGCAATTAGAACAAACATCTGTAGGAGAGAAATATAAACTTCCTTTTATGCTTTGCATACATAGCCAAGATTGATATCAGAATATGTTGGGAATATTTTTAAGGTTCAATGATTCTTAAAACAAACCATATACTTCACTACAGACTAAAGAAGTAATAAAGCCTTTTTAGGAAAACATTTTTGTAACTCTGAAGCATCCTAACAGAAATCTCACTACACCAGTTAGGAATCACAACAGAAATGTTTACTTTTCCAGACCTGCACAGAAAACCTGCCAAAGCTTCTCAAACTGAAACCTGTGTCCGCAGAACAGGATACCCATTTATTTCCTCATGCCGAGGCTTCTCTTCACCATCAGCCCTCATTTTCTCTTCATCTGCTTTCAGAACAGTAAGGCAGAAAGCACTACTTGACTCGTAGTACTACACCTTCTAGCCTGTCAGCACTGATGAATAACTCATGGAGTTATATACTGAGATAGAGTCAAAAAATCAGTTGTTTGAAGGAACCTGGAGAATTCACACAGTCCAACCACCTGCCTAAAGCTGTGTCAACGTTAAATTCAGACCAGATCACTTAGGTCTTTGAAAACCGCCGCAGATGGAGATTTCACATCCTCTTTAGGTCCCTGTCCCAGTGCTTAATTATCCCCACACTGGAATAATTGGAAGTTCCTGTTTCAATTTTTGACTACTGTGTTCCACTCCCCTGCCGTGCACCTCAAGTCACTAGCCTGACACTGTCTCCTTTCAGCAATCTCCCGGCAGGTTTTAGAGGGCTGCTGCAAGGTCATTCCAAAACCATCTCTTCTTCAGGCTGAACAGGCAGTTCTTCAGCATCTCCTCCCAGGGCCTGTGCTCCAGCCCCAGCTGTCTGGGTGGGCTCTGCAGAGCTCATTCCACTTCAATTGGTGCCTTTCTTCTTTTGGGGAGCCCCAAACTGGACACAGTATTCTAGACACAGTCTAATGAGTGCTGAGAAAAGGTGAATAATCATTTCTCTCAATCTACTGGCCATGTAATGATCGAAGTCATTACTCACACCAATTATTTTCTGTGCTTTTGACGGACCTTTTCATACCTGTTCCTTTCCAACAGCAATCATTAAGAATAGTGGTATTATGCAGAGGTTACTTACTGCATAGTCATTATTTTATACAAATAGGTAACAAAGACAGAAATTGTTACTATCTTAGGGCCTCCTCTAACCTTCAGTAAATGTAATTACAGTGTTTCCACTGACTTTAATGACAGTTGTCTTGGTTCATTATATCTTGCGGTAATCAACCTCACTGTCTTTGAAAATGGCATCTACTTGTAAGTGTAGAATTAGTAATGAGCATTGTAAATTCGTGTATAGCAGAACAAGCACAAGCACATATATATAACTGCTGATAAGTCAAATCCCTTATACTAATTGCCTTAGGCAGCTGACAATGAAATGGAACATAAATTTAAAGTCCACACCAGGGAAGTCTGAGCTATGTTCTATACAATTCTACCATAGATCATACACATGCAGTTTTATCTTAGCCCAAAGGACAAAATCTGTTTGTCAGTGCTTATTGTACAGTCTAGCCTAACCACACTGAAAACCTCTCCAGTATTTGTCAAATATCACAAAAACCAAGTTGCACTGCGTTGCACAGCTTTTACGGCATAGTGAGGCTAAGCCGCTTCCTACCCCTAAAATTCAAGGGATGTGGTTTATCATGGAAATGCCATGTACGGTAATCCATTTGTAGAAATTAATGGCATAAGATTTCTAAGTGTCTGAGCAAAACTTGCATAAGCAGGATTTTCTAAATGAAGTCTGGTTCAAACTGTATATTTAAAAGCTTTGTGAAATGACATGGCTATTTTGTCATACATTTTCGATAGTGCATAAAATTAGTATACCTGAAGATTTTTATTCCTGTTTGCCCAATAACTGCTCTTGATTTTAGGAAAGTGAGACAAGATAAAGCTAGACCTTACTCCTTGTCAGTGTCTCCTTACAGGAAAGTGACATGATTCTAAGCCATTTTCCTCCTGTAGATTGCTTTCTTTGCGAAGGTAATTCCCTGTGAGATCATGAATGCTTTTCCAGCATCCCAGACCTCTATTGTTAAGTCTGCAGGAAGTTTCATCCTGTTGGCCGTTCACAGTGTATCACAATGCATGAACTCCGAAATGACTACATTAACCGGGAGTAGATGTGAACATAAGAGGAATGTTCATAATTAATGTTCAAAATGACGTACTGGGCTGCATCTTGTGTATGTGAGTGTGTTTGTAACAGTTTTGGAAACAAGAGGATTCCGTTACTTAGAATTTGCTTCCTGTTTCGAAACAAAAACTTGTCTCCACTAGCCACTTCCAAATGACAAAGGATGTTTAGTGCACCTCAGCATCTGAATTCATGCCTGAATTGATTTGTTGGAATGTTGCATAACTATGAACTGCTCTTAGCCTCCCTCAGAAGTTTCAATTAACTGGACTGTACCTAGGACACGTTAGGCTGGAGTAGTTCTCATGTAAGTAGCACATCTGTTTAATTTTCACATGCAAATTAGAGCTGCTTCGTTTTTTGACCTTCTGAGTTTATGAAGGGGAGAGGCTAGAATCAAAGTTCAAAGCATGCAGTGGTCAAGAACTGTGAGACACTAATAAAACACCTGTCAGAAAACTAAGTAAATTTTTTTTTAAAAGTTTCATTCAATGGTTGTGTACAAATCCAGTTCTAAGTAATATTAGAACTTGCACTTTTGTACAATGATTATTTAAAAAAAAATTAACCCTTACAGCTGGGCAGTATTATGCCAAAAATTAATCTGGGACTGACATAAGCAGTTAGGATTTGACCAAATACTGAGAATCAGAGACCTCAGAGAGCATCATTATTTTACCGTCATCTTCCATACATGTAAAGACAAAAGTAAATATATATAATTTACATGCAAAGACACTTTGGTGTTACTACTGAAGACCAAAAGGAATGAAATCTTTATAATACCTTTTTTAAAATTTATGCCTAGATCTTCTTTATAGTCAAAACAAAACTTAATGGCTTAATAGCTATTTATATGACACATGCTTCCCCCCACTTTTGCAGGCCAGTTTTTGAAAGTTGTCTAGCTCAAGCAAATGTAGAAAACAGGGTACCAATGTTTTTAGTGCAAAGACAAAACACGTCTGAAAAGCACAGAAGAAACTGAGCAAACCAACAGGTTTTTTATGGGGGAAATGACTGCTAAAAATAGACGTGAGTGATTCCTTTCACTGTTCTTTTCAGTGTTCCTAGAAATACTGAAATCATATTTGTGACCCTAGGATTATTCGTATATTCTACTACTTGCACAGATTGCCTTCCAGTGTAACAGCAGACTGAAAACTAGGAAATTTCAGGTCAAATGAAACTTCTAATTTTTATAAAAAGAAAATAATCAATATTAGTGCTGCTTCTTTTTTTGTGCATAACACAGAAAATCCTTTCTGACAGATGTTCCCTTAAAATTATCATAACCATTAATTTTCTCATCTGAAAAGTAGAACAATAATACAAAGAAACTGAACAGAAACTATAACAATTCAAGGGATACAGAGGCACAGACACACAAAAAAATAAAATCACTCTTAGGCAAGGAAGTGAATGTTTACCTTACAGGCTGTTAGCATGTCAGCTACTGCTTTGCGGCTCAGATTTGCTGTAGCAATCACATCCTCCTGTCTGCATGAGTTCCCAGCTGCAACAGCTTTGGCAGTTGCCATGGTGATTCCTTTCGTCATCCGAATTGATTCTTCAGGTGACGATGTCTTTTCTGGAACCTCACTTGACTGAAACACCTAAAAGTGAAAGCAGAAGGAAAGCCTGATACCCTTCAAGTCAAAGCAGAACAACCATGAGAAAGAGACAGCAACTGGAAGCAGCCTTCAAACAGCAGGAAATTAGAAACATATTTGGAGTACTTGAATATCGTTCTTGCTTGTCAGAAGCCTGGTCCTGATAAGCCTGCTCACCTACAGACAGCAGAGAGAAACAATAAGCTGAGGGAAGCATACAAAAAAAGGTTAACCCATTCATCTCATCTGCCTGGCTGACAGTTTGTTACAGACAGCCGTTCAGAGTGTTACTGGATCAAGAGAATTACTATTCCTTTAATTATAATTTTTTTTCATCCTGACTGCTGCTTAGGCTGGTCTGCTCACATGAGGAGATCCTTCCCCTGCAAAGGCTGGGCCCTAACGAGTCCTTGTTAATAGCACAGCGTAGGACAGATGGAGAACATCACTAAAATATTCAAATGTCTCTTAAAAAAGTAGAGGGGGAGCGTTATCTCTTATGCTATACTTAGTCTCCCTTAGAAACCTACAGATATAGTTTTGCAGGGTGAATCATGTGAAAAGAGTTCAAATTACCTGACAGTACACACTACTCTCACGATGAACTGTGGTAAGATGTTGGTAATAAGAGCTGGGTAACCTTACTTTTATCATATATTTCCTCTTTCCCAAACATTAGTTGGTATTTGCTTGCCATTCTTTGACTGTGCAGGGACAATTCAGAGCACTCAGTTAATCAGGAGAGGTTTCTTGACTACACACAGTGCAACCAAAGCAAGCTTGTGGTTACAGAATGCAAATGTCTGGACAAAAATGAGCCTGGTCTATCCCATGCTCCAAGGTCAGCAGTTCTTCACTTTCTCTTTCCAGAAATGGAAACAATGTTAAAAAGTAAAGTCTGGTTAAATACGTGAAGGACATCCCTCAGCATTGCTCAAATTCAGTCCCTGAAGTTCCAAGTCCAGCTTGACGCATGTTCTTGAGCACTTATGTACCATCGTCAGTTCCTCTCAACCCTCTTGCAGTACTCCACTTTTCTGGAGCGTATACATGTGGGCATTAATTTAAATCACTGACTAGTGTACTAGTAACAAAAATATATGAACGCTGCAGCTGGAGGCTCTACTTTTATATCTTAACGAGGAAGGAAAACAATTATGGTCTAACACCTAACGTGAGAGAGAATTCCATGCTATTGTTAATTCCATCTCAGACAGAATACCAGATAGGCAGGCCATGTATCACTGGTACTATCAGCTCATAATAAAGGGAAAATAGAAACAAGATTAAACTACAGGTGCAATGTGGCTATGATGCCGAGGAGACATTATCAAAGCCAAGATCAAAAAAAAGTGAACAGCACTGAACTCAGAAAAGAATATCTGTAGTGAAAGCTTAATGTCTAAAGAACAACAAAGCAGTTGCTTCCAGATTTGTACATGACGGTAGGATCTCAGATCTCCAAGTGGGGACTGGTAACGTCTGAAAGCAGATAAGCTGAAGTGGCATTGTAATTGTACTTTCAGAAATGATCTGCAACGGGTAGAGAGAACCAGACTGCATCCAATACACTACAAGGCACTAGAGCACAGCGTGAGGAGTGGTGCCTGCGCAGACTCATTTCAGTGCAAGAGCATACTTTCAAAACGGCCATGTAGGGCTATTTTGTTCTGTACCGTGAGTTCTTGTTTGATGTACTCAATTGTGGCCTCAAGAGCTCTTGTCCCGCGAGTAGCTTCGTCTTCTACTGCTTTAACAGTCTTCAAAAGTGATGTGACGTTTGTTACCATCACCTGAAGAAGAGAGAGGTGAAGAAAAAAATATGTGATTTCTTCCTCCTGTTTTTCAGAGACAGCAGGGTCTGAAGCAAGGCAGAGTAAGCTAGGTAGCATTATTACTCCTAATAGGGCCTAAGAGGCTTCATGAACTGTACTTGTTATGGGACTAAATACCAACTCTCCTGCTGGCCAGTTTCAGAAAGCTCCCTGTAAGTTGCAGAAATGTAGCACGTGTAACTGCAGAGTGATACCATCTTAAGTGTGTTCTGTCAGAAATTTTACCAAGAAATGGAAAATTCAGAACATTTCCAGGGTAGGTCTCTTACACAGATTGATTATGTTGGTGACTTTTCTTCCCACACATCTTGCACTGCAAGCTGAAAGAGATGTAAATCAAGGTATGGTATTTCTTTCTGAAATTTACCCAGTACATCCTCCACAATCAGCTAAAACACCAGGTCAGCAAGCAACCAAACGCGTGCCTCAAGCCCAAATGCAGATACAGAATCAGTGTTACTGTTCTTGTTACAAACCCAATAGTCCCGATACAGAATAACCTAATCATCACTATAATAACTACACCTTTCCTACACCACAGTACAGTGAGATACAAATTATAGCTACAATGAAAAAAGAAGAGATAAAAAGGCCAGCTTCTTGACAGTTATGACACAGAGAGCTTGACAACAGGAAGAGCCAAGAAGCCACTTTTCTTGACTGGATGGGTCATTTTCAAGTAGTGCCTCCAGAGCACACTGCTATCATGTGCTCTGAAAGGAAGAGAGGCACAGGTCTGACAGGTGAGCAACAGACATGAGAGTGAGAAGAGCTTCCAGGCAAGCAAGAAGCTACTACAACACTCTTATCACGTGAAAGCAGAAGTAATACTGCCTAGATCTCCCCATCTGGAAATACTTTGTAGACACGAAGCCACAGGATCTTTGTGAGTCTAATGTCATAATACATCACAGCTGCAGAGAAAATAAAGCACAAAGATATGACATGTACGGTGTAATCTGTGCGAGTTTTGAGCTTTGATGCCCATGTACTTCCTGGAAAGATCTAGGAGAGAGGGGTCAGTAACACACAATATCCTACTACAGAGTTATTGGAAGGGGGTTTTTCTCCCCTCCCTCCCTCCTCCCCCAAGCTGCAAGGTCTAAATAAGGAGGCCACAAGCTTATCCTCAGCATATGTCATTGTTCAGAATGTTTAGGTACCATTTTATATTGGATAAATTTTAGTAGGTAACATTATTAAAGGAGAACCTGCCCTCAGATGCAGGCCTGCAAAAGAAAGAAGTTTCTTTTCAGAAAGATTCCAGTTCTTTCATCGTAACCACAAAAGTAATCTGAAGGCCTACAAAACCTGATAGCTTCATGGAAACTCAATAGTGTCTTCTTATTTTTCTGTACCACCCCAGGGTGCTAATGAAACAAAGAAAGACATGATATTTCAGGCAATCAGAAATTGCTGAAATCCAAGCTTCACACATCTACCAAGTGGGATTGCACAGATACTTTAAATAAAATGTAAGAATAAGGTTGTACCTTGGCAGCACCTTTCAGCTGATACATGGATGGATCATCTGCTGGTTTGCTAGCAGCTCCTTTGGTAGCACCAATGAGATCAGAAAGGGCCTTTGCAACATCCTTGATAGCATTGATCAGGACAACCTATAGGAATGAGAAACAGCCATAAGCCTCAGACAAGAAACAGCAGCCTGGATGAGGGCGTGATTTTTAGAACACAACTAGAACCAAAAATCTACTACTGGTACACAAATAGCACCACTCTCTCTCTACTCCAGTAAAACACGTAATATTCTGGAAGAGGAAGAGCTGTGCTGATAGCTACAGTATTTCATACAACCGGCCAGAATCTCTAAAAGTGACTATTTCCTGTGAAGACACTGAAATGCTGATTGCAGGGAGGATTTCCTTCCTCTGCCCTTCCCCAAGAGGAGGTTTACTTTTCTCCACATTCTTCACCCTTTGGGTGGAAGCAGGACGAGAGCAAGAAAACAGATTACAAGCACACAGTTCTAATGCTACAGTTACGTACCAACTCTGAAATCACCTACTGAAAGACCGAATGTAATTGCTATGGCTAGGTGTTAGAAGGAAACATTCTTTCAGGGAAAAGGAAGCTGAACCTCTGTAAGAGGCTATACAGAACTAAATACTGAATAACTTGGTTGGCTTTAAAGTCAGGAAAAGTCAAATCTGGAGATACTGTCTCCTAAACCCAAGGTCAAAGACAGAAGTCCTAGACAAAATACAGACACTACAATGGGCTTGTTAATTTTTTTAGGGTATTACTGGAGTAATTCTCTCCTCCAAATCCTTCTCCTTTGCCCTTTCTGCTAGTAGAAAAGTAGTTTTTTAAAGTATTTTGCTGGAATTCAGAAGAGTTCATTTTAAGGAAAATGTTGAAACATGCATGAAAAATGAGAAAGCTCGGGGGAAAAAAAAGGTGTGGAACAACCACTTCTCAATAACTGCATTTCTGTAGCATTACAAATGATAAGAAAACAGCCTCATTCCTTCATGTTTGTAGTTCACTGTAACTTGTATAAACGTCAAGTCTTTGCTTTTCCTGAAAATTTTATTTAGCTTTTGTTAGCTCAGCAATTTGGCCATGGAAATAAGAAAAGAACCTGAGACACAGGACAGACTGATGTGATACTCTGTTGTCCGACTGCTTATGTTGTGCGTAAGACATCTGAAACTATCACACCAGGTAAAGTAAGGCTTGCTGCCATGGAAAAATCTTGTGCCAGTATCATGTGCTAAAGCTATTAGAAATGCTCCATTTAGGGCACATGATGGACCTATAATTTCAAACTGGCAATAAAAAATTGCTCCAAATAAATTACTTGTGCACAATAACTTTTATTCCAAATACTATATTCCTGGCTTTAACATATAAAGCAAAACAATACGCGATAAATGTTTTGCAGATGTTGCTATTTTAGGGAAATCCTTCTGTTAAAAAAAGTATAAAAAAAAAGTATTTTCCTAGAAAGAAACATCTCAGAAGTTTAGTCAGTCAAACAAGTAAAGCAAAATGGAAAAAACATCCCTTTCAGGGCATTATGCAAACGAGCAGGTGTTTCCAAACTAAGGTGGTACCACCACAGGCACATCTGCAATATGCTTGCCAACCTCCATTTCACCACGATCCAAACAAACAACTGAAGAAATTTTTGAGAGAATTTACACTGAAGGCTGAAGTAACTGAGTTAAATAAAAAACAACTGAGATACAGCTAGAGAATGGCAAGAGCTCGTGAGCCTCCACAAGTAACACAGAGTGCACAGCCCAGTTATAAGCTGAATAAGTAGCTTTAAAGTCATGCAAGCCCTTTAGAATAAAAAATGAGATGAGTCAGTGGTCCAACCACAACTTAGTGAAGACAGGACAAATACTTTGCCAAAAGCATCCCAGCTGGAACACATACATGAAATAAAAGCAGAAGCGTTATACAAAGACCTGTCCAGTTCCACTCAGTGCTCTAAACCTCTTGATTGTGCTCTGAAAAAGAGCAGGATATCTGAGTAAACCCAGAAGAGTACCAAAAGAGATTAACTCTATTGTGTTGCTTAAAAGCAGAAGTCCCATGAAGTCGTATAAATTGAAAACTGTCTCTGGTCTCTTTAAGAGTAACAGAAAAATCTTAATCTCACCTGTGTTTCAGGATCATCCGATCCCAAGCTAGCCGCTCCCAATTTTACTACCTCAGCAAGCTGAGTGATGGTGTTAGCTGATGACTGAGCTGCTTGGGCCAGTTTGTCCTGACTCGAGGCAGCACCAGAAACCAACAATTTTGTATCTTCAACTAAAGCTTTTGCTGTTTTCAGGATGTTTTCCCTGTAGCAAAAAAAGGGGAAGCAGGGAAGGAAAAGAAGAGGAAAAAAGCATGTTTTTCAATGTTATGGTGACTAACAGCTACATAAAAGCGCTGATGTAAGTCATCATGCCAGTGTCCACTCATGATAATATACCACAGGCCAGTTTGGAAGTTAAAAAAAAAAAAAAGAGACAAGATAACTATTAAAACAGTAGCATTATATTTTGGGATAGATGCAAGGCAGTTTATTAAAATGACTCCATCTTGAAAAGAAATGCAGTAGGGCAGCAGCAGAAGAGAGCATTGCATTTTAACATCAAAAGAAAATCTGGCCATGCAGAGGAAAGTAATGGCTGTCACAGCTCCATCTTAATCAGCATGTTGTATGGAGACTGAAACAATTATTCGTGAGGAAGGCAGTAGCAAGAATTGCACAAGGAACAGAGAATGGGATCTACTCAGGATTCCCCCCCACCACATACATGTTTTGAGATGTCAGGACAAAAAATCCAGAGCAACATTTGTGTAAAAGAAGAAATCATTTTGAGGACACACTTCACAAACGAGTCAAGTTAACTGAGAACTAGAACCATATTCATGTAAAATGTCAGCCTGGAAATTAATAACACCTGCACGAAAATCCCTGAGTTTCAGTCTACAGAATGGCAACAACTTACACACCATTGTATCTTTCCTCTTTCTTGAGCAACTGGCAAGGCAGGAAATAAATTCTGGCCACGCAATTGTTGCGTAGGCCAACTAGGTTGTGAAGCAGTACGTCAGTGTCTTGGCTGTGAAGCCCTGGGTTTTACTGCAAAGGAAGTAACAGTCAGATGCTGCAAATCTCTTAACACGATGAAAAATGTTGTGGGATTATTTTGTTGCAGATGCTACTTGAAGGGAAAATGGGCTTATCTTTGCCAAAGGGGAAAAATGCGTGGCATAGCTGTGCCGTTCCCACCACTGCTGTCCGCAACAGCATTAACCATAAACATGGTTTTACAAACAACCGGACAGCCAAGGACAGCTGGTGGAAAAAAATATAGAGAAGATTCCTCTTCAACGTCACAGACAGCTAATTTTCCCTACTGGAGTAACAGCGCATGGTAGTCTATGCAATGAGATGGTTTGAATAAAAACAAAAAATAGCCAAAATAGTGCTACAGTTGCAGTCTTCTGTTAGAATTGCTCTTGGCAGATGTTCCTCAGCTTTTTAAAATTCTTTCCTCACAGAAATAACCAAAGTGAAGTGTGCTGTCCTCTATCAATATCCCAATTTCTCACTCCACTGCCTCATTCAATGTCACTCATGGGACTCTAGAAAGGTAAAAATTTATCTCTACATGCCGGTTGCTTCTGACAGTTCCACTGTTCCCCTGTGAATGTGCTCTTCCACCTTTTTCAGTTACACTGACCTGTGGTCTGCAAATGATTCGTTGTTCTCAGCATTAAGGGTTCCAGCAGTAGCAAACATGATAGTGGTGTCTAGATCTGCAATTATCCCAGACACGGCACTAGCTGCAGTAATACAGGCTTGCGTGCCTTTGTTTCCTGCTTGAAGGGCAGACAAAACCAAGGAGACCTGGAAACAACACCAAGAAACAAGGTGGTCATCAAAAGAAAGCCTCATTATGGGACATGGAGTTAAGTGAGGTCTGTAACATGACTGGAATCAACAATGGAAATTCATTTTAATAAACCTCTCCTTCTCTTTTTCCTTATTTGCTCTCTTTGTGCAGTAGTTCTTGTGATGACTAAAGATTGTTTCAAATTAAAGGGGACTTCAGCAAGGAAGTCCACTTTTCAGACAGAATGAAGCCATCACAGGATGAAGCACATCAGTTAAAACTTCCTTGAAATACAGTCAGAAGTAATGTAGTGAACTTCTGCCAGGATAAATGTCAGATCCAAGAGCTAACACTTTTTCCCTAACAGATGGAAATATATACTGGCCTCAAGCACCCCAGTAGTCACAGACAGTACACCGACATAAACTTTAACATCAGAGAAACAGAAAGTATAGATTCTCTGAATCCAGATGCTAAATATTGTCACATTTATAGAAAATTATAGGAAAGCAATATATGGCTTTACATCTAGCAACATTTTTGATCACTAAAAAGGCTAGAGATCTCCATTTCATCTCATTGACATTGTACTTACAAAGCTCTGCAGCTGGGATGCTGCTCTCATGCCATACTATGTCCTAAATCCTGCTTTTGCAAGGAAGGATCCACATCTGGGGATATACACATTGACTTCTAATAGTACAGTTCTTCTGAAGGTTTTGTTCAGATTCAAAGTTGTCCCCAAATAGGTTCCTGTGATTCACTGTCACTCTCCTTATCAGCTTTAACTCTTCTTACAAGGTACTGTCTACCTCTGCATAAATGTGGAGTTGCTGATGCTCCTGGGGCATGACACAGTGGAAAATCTGTGCTGAGAGCACACTGACATAGGCTGAACAAGTGATAGTGGGTGAAATGTAAAAGTAACTGACATTTGACTCTCAGTGTTGGTGCCCAACAAAAGGAGAAAGACGCTGTCAAAAAGGTTCAGCAAAGCTGAGCTTCCCAGGCCATCTGTTTGCAGTGGATGTTTCCAAAGACCAAGAAACCCCAGACAGTTTGAAGCTGCAGTTCTAAGTGCATTAGCTTGGCCTAGTCTCTACCTGAAATCATGTGTCATCAACCAACCTCACCTTTGTAACTGTGGCCATCCACATGGACTTCGTTTTTCCAAGGGAGTGCCTCATAAGGCACAAGTGCCATCTCATGTCTTAGGGATTAGTTTTGGACCAGTGTCCCTCTGGTATGAGGGTGAAGTTTTATTATGAGATATGAGCAAGGGCTACTCATGGGCTCATCTAGTACATGAACTGCACCAAACACTTGAAAATAAAGTAAGAACCTAGTCTAATTCAGCCAATATTATGCTACAATGGGAAGTTAAAAAAATATTATTTCCTGAACCCAAACAATTTGACTGGTTTACTCCTTGGGGAAGCTCGGTAGAGAAACATCATGAGGCAATACAGAGGGATGTCTTACCTTTTCTGTGACAGCACGAGCACATTCTATTAACTCCCTTTTGGTGTAGCTGTCTGTAGGGCAAATCTGGAGAGCTCCAGCTTTTTGCACAAGAAAGATACAGCCGTGGCCAAGTTCCTGCACCCGAGTCCTGATCTGGAATCCTATCTAGATAGTAAAGGAGGTACAGGGAAAAAGGAAACAAGAACAAAATGAATAAATAAATATCATGCTGATACATTGTGTCAACACAAATGAGAATACGGTCACTCTGCTGAATCTTTATTACCAATATTCCACCCATTGCTATACTCTCTGCAGAGATCAGAAAAGAAGAACAGATATAATCCCATCTACTCATGTATCGCAACCCTATAAAAGGCTTACTGATGAAACAGGAGCACTAGTGAACTGCACCCTGGGAAAGAGAAGGCATAAGGTGTGTATCCAAGACAAGAGTATGTAAATCAAGCACACACCACTTCACCACATTTGAGTAACACCAATTCATCTCCCAGAACTGTACCATCAGCATGCACTGTATTAAAGGTATGTACGATGGGTAAAAGGTACACGTTTACTCTGCACTGGGTCAAAAAGTATATGACTCGGTGTGTTTTTGAATCTCGCGAAGAGTGTCAGCTCTCCAGAACTGACCATGTACATGCAGAGCACTGATACATGGAAAATCCTGCCCTCACCACTTCTGATCTGTTAATAATCCTACGGCATGAGCTGTGCGTGTTTAGAAACACGATAGTTTTTGTACCTGCATGTACTTAGGCATATAGGTGCGTGTTTGGATTAATAAATAAGCAGGAATCACAGCCATTAGTATCACAAATTGAATTATTTCAACTTCAGGCAGAAAGTAATGTGCAGAAATGGTAATTCAATTTAACAATATCAAGCCAAATGAAAGCCGTTGCTTTTCACGTAGCTACTGAGCACGAAACACTCAAGTAGTCTGTCATGATTACAAAGTCAAAAGCTCTTTGAAGGTCTTTTATCTAGATAACCTGATACATCTGGTGACAGTGAGACACGCTCCTACCCCATCTCAACAAAGTTTGTCTGTGCCCCATAAACAGAGGCACGCAATGAGAGAAGTGAAAGAATTTCTGCAGTTGTGCTGAAACAATCTGCAGCAACTACTGTAACATGTTAACGCAACAGCGGCGAATAGTCCATACTCCTCTGTTAGCATGAGGCTTGTTAAGACTGGCTGGGGAACCTGGTTCTCCTGCATTGCATTTCGACCCTGAGGGATGAAAGATGTCCTGTAGGCAAAAGACACTTGTGCTCTACTGGTCACCCGCATCTCACTTTCAGGACAGGAATTTATATTTGAAATAGCATACAGTCAAAATAGAAAAGCATATATATTTGCAATTTATTAAAACATATGAGATCGAAGGAAAGCTGTATAGTAAGTAATTAAGAGTTTTCTTTGTATTTGGAAGCTTTAAGTGAAAGCCCCAGGAGGTTCTGTCCTGATACACGATAGAGCCACAAAGATGATGAAGGGAATGGAGCACCTCCCTGATGAGGAAAGGCTGAGGGAGCTGGGTCTCTTTAGCCTGGAAAAGAGGAGACTGAGGGGCGACCTAATTAATGTTTATAAATATGTAAAGGGTGAGTGTCAGGAGGATGGAGCCAGGCTCTTCTCTGTGACATCCAGTGATAGGACAAGGGGCAATGGGTTCAAGCTGGAACATAGGAGGTTCCACTGGAATATGAGAAAAAACTTCACGGTGAGGGTGACAGAGCACTGGAACAGGCTGCCCAGGTTGTGGAGTCTCCTTCTCTGGAGACATTCAAAGCCCGCCTGGATGCGTTCCTGTGTGATCTGATCTAGGTGTTCCTGCTCCGGCAGGGGGATTGGACTACATGATCTTTCGAGGTCCCTTCCAATCTCTAACATTCTGTGATTCTGTGATACGGAATTGTCAGGCAATATCGCAGTTTCTTTCTGAAGCTGGACCAAGGTTTTGACAAAAGGTTTATGTTCTCTGAGCAATTGTCGTAACAAGGCTTGTAGCATAAAAAGCCAGACTTACAAAATAAGATGTTACATCTTTTGTCAGTAAGTGTTGTTAAAAATCTGCTGATTCATAGTACTACTAGGAGAAAACTTGTTCCCTAGACAATTCACGTGTATTAAGAGCAAAGGGAGGGCTGAAGAGAAACAGAAGCAAAGCCAGTTTGAAGTTCCAAACTGAAAACATTAAATCCCAATTCCTATCATTATACACCTGTCCGTATAACCAGTGGTAAAACTGAGGTGTGTTATCAGTGAAGATGTACTCCGCAGGACTATGTGCAGCCCTGCCCCAGTGTATCCGGGCACATTAAATAGACAGTACGTTCAGAGAAGGGAAAGGTCAATATCAAAGACCAAAGTGGATCTCTCTCCACAAACCGTAAGCAGGAAACAGTACTTACGACACATGCATGTAAATAACTGTTGATATTCTAAGATTTCATGGTATTTTGAAAAGACACACTACGAGTCACTATGCTCCTTGGTTCCTTTCAGTCCAATTAAAACAAACTCAGGAGAGTTTTTGTCTGGCTGCATATAGTTTGTGTCTGAAAGTCTGTTCTTAGTGAAAATGGATCATAAGAGAGACAGATTTGTATAGCCAAAGTATGCCTATAATGTTGACTGGGTTCATGTCATGGTTTCAATCAAGTGATAATATGCCCAATGGGAACAGATGTGCTGTCCTGTCCCATGTTTCAAGTGTCAGTGGGCCAGAGGTAGCACATCTGTTTATCAGACTAAGCACACGCAGTATAGACAGTGCTTGCGTACAAAAGCAGCTAACAAAGCTAAGGCAGTGGAAACGCGGTCAGAGCCTTTGTTTCAGAATCATTGCAAAGACATTTGAAAGAAAACACATAAGCCAACTGTACGAAACCTATTATCTGATCATACAAAGGATGTATTGCATTTGGCAATGGCCACAAGCCTGTTGCTGCAGCTGAGTGAGGTGAATACTCCTTGCCACTTCGCTTTGTATTTATTGTATCTTCTACAGTAAAAGAATACCCATGTTGATAGCACCGTGTACAGAGAATAAAGAGGTCTGAAAACTGCAGACCTCCTCTGGTTCTGCTGTAGCTGCAGCCATTCGGCCCTGGAGAGCCAAATGCCCATAGTCATTGGTCATTTGTGATGCAAGTCCTCCCAATTCTTCGGGGTTAGTAACCGACTTAGTCATCTGAAAAAAAAAACAAACAAAAAAAAAACCACAGGCAAGAGAAGAAGAAAAATGACAGGCATAAGAATAATTTGTTAATACACTCCAGCTTAGAAGCACACTCATTTGTTTGGCCACACTGAGGAAACGGGGTAAACTGCTCGCCATATAAGGGACCTGTTCTCCAGCAAGAATTCCATGAAGAAACTCAAGCAAACATGCTTTATTAGAGTCACAGTAACCAGGCACTCGCAGAACATCAGGAGTAATCAAAGAGCAGCAGTTAGAGCTGGTAATTCACTCTTTGACACAGCGGGGCAATGGGCCAGGTACACAGTTACTTGGACTGGGTGAGGAAGAGGGGTTTGTGTGTCGCAGTCATGTTGTTTTGTCAAAGATGAGCCAGCCTACATCAATCTCAGCTGGTGCAGCACAGGAGCATGAAAATGGAAAAAATTTGAGGACCCGATGCAAAATATGTCTAAGATATGGGAAGAGAACTAAGAAAAAATAGGTAGGACCATGCAGAATGCCTTGGTCAAACGTCAGTAGAAATAACTGAGTCTCTCTTAGGAAAAGCCTACCTTTTAACAGAGGTATTTCTGTCTCCAGTTTATGCAACCTTTGGGCAAAACTAATTTTAGACAAATTTATGCTGCTTGCCAATAAGCTGCAGTGTCTTAGCAGAATTATCGGCCTGTCTTGACTGCAACAGCCATCAATTTTGTAAAAAATCCTTTCTGTAGCATACATAAATAGTCCTCTTGCCCCTCTTAAAAACAAACAAGCAATAGAAGCACTCTTCAAAAGGCAAACATTATGGTAAGCATTACTGTGAAACATGAGTTAAGAAAATCTTGATTTAACAAGTGTCCTTTTTTCTTTTGTTAAAGCCAGGTGAATCACAGAAATGCAAATAAAGAGCAATTTGAGATGTTGATCTGCATTCATTTGCAATTATTATAAGTGTCTGAAAATATTGACATTATCTCACAGGCTAAATAAGTGTGAAAGGGTAACCTGAAGTCAGCAATAAGCATTTGGTGGTATTTCAGTAACAATGAAACAGGCTGATGAAAAAGTGCATAGGTGAAAAGTTTCCTTTTTATTTTTTCATAGAAAATAAGCCAAATAAAAAGTTTTTGTGCAGAAGAGCCACAACATAATCCTGCACTCCTGTAAAAGGGCCACCCTTATGATCACATCATTAAGATCCAACAGTGCAGTTGACAAAATCATCACTTCCTTTGCTCCATTACTCCTGAAGAGGTAAGGTGATTGAAACTTAGCATTATAAAGAGTTTCACAACACTGTGTAAATCATTCCACGTTCCTTATGTACATGGAGAAGTTTCTACTTAATTCAAACCAAGTATCTTACCATTTCCTGTGCTGTAACAGCAATGGCTTTAGAATATTTCACCACAGTGGTCTGATAATCAACAAATGATCCCTTGGGATCTGGAGGTGTACCTTCATCCAGCTGCAAGAAAGAAGGAAAAACACAGCAGAAATAACGAGGTCATAACCAACAGCATACTTTACACATAATAATGACATTGCACCATATATTCACGTTTATAATCTCTTCTCTCTCAACATATGCAAGTGAAGACAGTGCACCAGAATGTACTGAGAAGCTCAGAAAATACTTTAGCCCACATTATGAGCACGGAAGATGCAGAGAATTTACAGTGCGGAGTTTTCAAGTGCAAGGTCAACTTCTCAAGCAAGGTCAAACCACCTACAGTTCTCAGGTAATGTAGAAAGGAATGTGCAATGGTTATGTAACAAAACGTTCCTGCAAGAAGATAATGTCACATTCCTTTATGTGGTAAAGGCTTCGATGCTGCACAACTTTAACCTAAGATAAGAAAAGACGGTTATTTGGATGGAACTCATTTACATTTTGCAACTATACATTTTCAGTAGGATACTTTACAAAGAGTAGCAGAGCACTTAGGGCTTTGACATCTTCTCTGAAGGTAGTTTGCTTCAAGGTTGGCCTGCTGATCGTTTAAAAGACTAACATGAAAGAGAAGTAGGAAAAGGAGGCAAAAATAAAAGGCCAGTCGACCCAAGATTGCAGTTGAATACCAAGATACTCCTTGAACAAAGATATCTTTTAGCAATTCTACCGACAAGTATCCTGTAGATTGTCAATATGAGCACTGTTGCACCCATCAGTTTGATTTCACCATCTACAAAATCAAGGAATCTTTAGGCTTCCTGTCACGGCGTGTCAGTTACCAGCCACTGGCGAAGTGAATCAGCAGCAGCTCTTCCAACCCCCTGCAAGCTTTCAAGTACAAGATGAAGTCTGGATTTCTATGCTCACCTTGCTCATGGCCTCTGCTATCGAGTCTACCATACCTCCAACCATGCCTACTTCGCTTGCAGCTTCATTTAAGGTAACCATGATATCATCCACAGCCTCTTGCATCAGTTGAGCAGCCTCAGTGATTGCATCATGAGTATGGGATGCCTGGAAAAAAGAAAATGAGAAAACAGAGATCACCAGAGACCATTCAGTGGACACATAAAAACGCAGAGCAGATGCATAAATAATTAAGATAAGCTAATAGCTCTGAAAATCCCCTTTCAGGTCAAAGATGAGAAGCTAAATCTAAACAGGCAGCACAGGGTGTCTCCCCCGACCCTCAGAGTCAGGAGGCAGCCACCAGTTAGGGCATGTAACAAGCAGGCCCTGTGTTTTCGCCCTTGATGTCTGTAGTAGTGTACTGATATTTGCTGTTAGACCCAGCATTTGTGTCTGTCATGAAGATGGTGTGAGCCAGACTGGAATCCCGTATACTACCAGTGTTTCCACTGTCCCCTGAGACATGTCAGGAGAGCTGTCAATAGCATTTTCACTACCAATGTATCCTCACCCCAGCCCACAGGTAGAGGGTGTTTTTTTGGCCCCATCTCCTGTCTCCCCTTGCCCATTCCCCCTCTCCCCTCATCCTTCTCCCATAATCCCTTAGTTGCACATGGCAACCATACCTTGGGGTTTCCTCCCCCTTCTTTGGCGGCGTATAACATCTGCAAGGCAGATTCTGCTAGTGTCTTGCTCTGGTCCAGTATGGTCATCTGTTGCTGATGCTCTAGAGTTTTGGATGCCACGCCAACTGCGGCTAAAACCAATGGTTCAAAGTAACTTGCCAGCTGTGTTACCTAAGAAAGCCATAAGAACCACAGAAAGCCATTAACCCTGTTTCTCAGATGCAACTGAGAGGAACCACACTCCCTGATTACCACTGGGCCACAGGTTAGCTTAAGTACCACAACTGTCCTAGTGCTTCTGCCCTGTACAGTGTTGAGTTTGTATTATACACCTGTGATTTTGTCCCCCCTCACCTTCAAACTCCTTGATAAAGCCAGGTGTCTCCTCCCTCAGACACACATGGTCCCCTGAAGTCAGATTAAATCATTTTCAAAACTGTCATGGGAGCCACACATTACGCAGGATCATCCATGACAAATGTCTCCTCCATGCAAGGGAGGAACTTCTCAGCCTTCATTGTGAACAAAAGATAACAAATGGGACCACACTGGATTTGGGCTGCTCTGTTCACCTCAGGGACTCCTTGTACTCGCAGCCTTCACTCCCTAGTCTCTCAAACCATCTTCATCAGATTCCAGTACAGACCTGGATGGTTCTCTGCTGTGTAAGACACCAGAGTGGGCACAAGTGCTAACATTACCTCTGGACACGGTTCATCACTCCTGATGCATGAACGCTTCCCTAAGGCAGCCACGTGGCCCAATGCCCTGGAATGTTTCATTTTTGGACAGAGATCTAATAAGCACGAGTTCTACCATACTTACACTCCACATAACAGTGGGGACATGTTTACACAATGCTTACAATAGAAAGCAAGACTGTTACAAGCCTTTCTTCCCCTCCAATCCCTAAAAATTTGCAGCAGGGGCTGAAAGTCAAGGTAGTTCAAAATCAGTAATTTTTTTCCCGGTAAAGCTAACACTCCCTCTAAAATCCATGGAGACAGAGGGCCTTGCACAGAAGGTAGAAAGTAGACGCATCACACTTCTCCTTTGAAACTACAGTCTAAACCTCCCTCTCCTCCAACTACAGGAGCTGCTTCAGGAGATGGGCCTCCATCAGGAAAGGGAACCTCTGTGTGTATTCCACACTTCTCCCCTCACTTTGTCATGAGCTGGCCAAGAAATGGGGTAGCATGCAAAGACCTCAGGTCAGGATAGGATCTGACAAACCTTTGCCACACTTCATCAACTGGCCAAATTCTGCTATACAGGCATATTCTATAACTGTGTGACCTGCCAATCAAGCCTGGAATGTGATGGGCCCCAGGTCCTGTGGTCACCTTCAACACAGCACAAGAGACAGAAGAACCTACACATATATACAGCTGCTGGCTGCAAGAGCCAGAGGTAGAGAGGCCTACAACACTGTGCTCCACCCTTCCATCTTTGCCTTTCCCTCCCCTTTCTTCATCTGTCCTTTCTCCGTGAACCTGTCCCTCACCAAAAACCTCAGTGAAAATATCTTTCCAATAGCCCAAAACACAAACAGATTTATGTGGTCTCAGCTCCAAGCATTTGGAAATCCCAGATCTTTCCTCCTTCCACATGCTTTCTTTTGCTCTTTTGTAGGAAGTGAAAAAGCTACTAAATCATGGTCTCTCCTACCGTCCATCTGTCTGAGATTTCAAATACCTTCATAAGGGTAGGACAGTACCTTATGCCCAAGCTGAGCTGCCTCTCCCCGAGCTGCAGTAGCTATGGGATCAATGAGGTGGCCAATTTCCTGGACAACCGATGTCAGCTGCTCCTGTAGAGCCTAATAGGAAGAGAAATTGTCAATTACTGTCAAAGCTGTTCTTTTATCAAGTTGTACCACACCATAACCATCACCCTCAGAAGACTGTTGAAATGACCCACTACAGTAGGATGCAGAAATCCACATTCAGCTTTCTTTATGTCCTTGCTCATTTCTTTCCTTTACTGTGTTTCAACACCAAGAACCCTGAAATAGGCCTGCTCCTCTTTAGATTTATATGGCAGGTCTGGGGAGAGAGGGGGGAAGATATCTCCCTCCTACTCCAGCTGATAGTGACAAACTCAGGAGTCGGTGTCCTTTCTCACTGCAATGTGACAAATCCCCCCACTCCCAAACTGTTCTTGCCCTGGCAAAGACTTAGTATCTCTCTGCACCGATCAGAGAAACCAGCAGGAGCTCCAATTTCAATACGAAGAAACATTCTTCAAAGCAGACAATACGGTGCAAGAGCAAAAAGCTCTGCTCTAGACTTTGAAGTTATCAGGAGAAATTCACCTATAAGGAAAGACAAAGGAAAAATATGACATCTCTGAGGGACAGAGATGTGGACTGATCTCCTGAACACCACCTGCAGGACAGGAGCATAAGAAAAGCATATTCCTGGGCTTGTCGAGACATACATACTGGCTTTGCATTCAGAGCCACTTAATATCTTGTACACCGCTGGGACTTAGCTCACTCTAATGAAAGGCAAGAGAAAATAAATACTATTTTTGCACTTCATTACATTCCTGCACTGTTTTATAAATAACTGCCATCTTCAGTAATGTTTATTTCAGTTAGACATGGTGTCCAAGATGACTGAATTTTTTAAGTAGAAAATAATTACATCTATGACATATTTCCTGTAATAACTTCTTTTATATAGCTTCATTTAGTCTGAGATGTTTCTAGCACGCAGTGTTACAGCCCAAAGAAACCACTGTAATACACAAAGAGACACATAACTTCAGGAAGCAATAGTACAAAAAGATACTAAATACCAAACTGATTATCTGATCATGAGTTGCTGAGTTTTTGTAGGCTGTCTGACATGATGGCCTGTCCTCAATTAGATAAATGCTGAAACAGCACAGGATTGGTCTGCGTTACCACGGGGTCGTGTGGGGGGAGAAGGAAGCTTCTTTTATGTGAACATACCAACATCAACTCCAGATTTCACTTATTTAATGACAAAGTAGGCACTAAGAAAAATGGCATCGACACTTACAACACTGGACTTCTAGTAACCAATTAGTTTCAGAAATGTGCCAACTTCCACATGGCAAGGCACCAGAGAAACAGCAACTATCAGTTGGTCGTGTCAGCACAGGATGTCAGAATAACATGTGGATGGGCGGTTAAGAGTAACTACTTTGAACCCTACTTCTGCGTGGTGATTCTGGCATCTTCCCAGCAGCGATACACTTTGGCCAGCATGCAATTTTTGTGTAGAAAGATTCCAGTAAGAATACTTCTCCCCCCCCGCCGGTAGACTGTGCAGAGTGCTCAACTCCAAATCTTCAAACGGAAAGAAAAGCCAAGAAGGCTGAGCGAGGCTGCTCAGCACTGCTCTGTTTGTTCCTGTGCTATCTCCCTTACCTCAACTGAGATGTCATCCCTGGTGGCCAGACTCTGACTGACAGCTGCAAGGGAGGCCTGCTCAATGTCTCGGATGCATCTATTGATCCCATCAATGGAGAAATCACATTCTCGCTGGCCTGGGGCCTTGTCCCTGAGAGACAGAAATAGTGAGCTGAGCACAGTGGGAAGGAGGCAGGCTCTTTCATGAATGCACACAAGCGTACTCGATTACCTGACAAAACAGAGCACGTGGGAGGAGAGCAACAAGGACAAAAGCTAGCTGTGGTCTGCCTAGGGGATTTTGATGTACGTACAGAGTACTCTGCACACTTTCATAGACATACGCACACATATCGCTCCTCTCTTAATCATTAGGTAAAAGAAAAATTGGTTGCCTCAGAAGAAAAGGGCAAATTCCACCTCCTTGGGATGGCCAGAATGGCCCAGTAATGAAGGTCAACACGAAAACACAACAGACACTAGGAAAAAATATTAATGTTTCTGTACAGTGCAACTGACTGTCTCAAAACACAATTCCTGAGGTATTAGGTATTACATTCAGACCAATGTATCTTTTAACAAAGGCTAGTTTCAATGTACTTTGTCCTGACACACAGTTTGCTATTTTGGTACCATTATTATCAAAAATCAATGAAACTGTAAGCACTCCTTACCTCACAGTTTTAATGCCATTTTGATTTAATCCATATTAAGAGTTTTAGAACTACACTTTACAATTTTCAATAAGAAAGGGATAGACAGGTTTAGTTCAAAAAATAACAAATATTAGCTTCTGGCTACAGCATTCTTGCACTAAACCGAGAACACTACAGTAATGAATAGATAGCAAAGGTAATTTATATACTGTCTGATTCACCTGAAAAAATTTTTCCATTTTCCACATACTGTATGTTGGTACGTGATCAGGATGGAGGTAATATTAGCTATGTTTTTTTTATTCTACAGCATTCTCTACTACAGTTACCTTGAACTGAACTGGAGGTGGAACCAGGGAAGGAGAACAGAACACAAAGAACAACCCTATGCTGCCAAGGGCTGCAGTCATCAATTAGGATTAAACACTCAGCATAACTGGGGAGGTATTGTGCATCACAGAACAAATAATTTCCAGTAGTGAAAAACACCACAGTGCTAATGGCCATATGGTATTATTCTTTATGGACTTATTATGGCTTAAGGGCGGACAGAAAAAAGTTACTACAAAGACACACCTGATAGAGGTGATAAGACTCTTGATAGAATCTGAGACAGTATGGGAATGCCCAGCTAGTACGGACCACGTAGGAGGGTCTTTAGGATTGATAGCCAGAGAACGAGCAGTTTTGATCAACAAAGATGAGCTCTCCAACATTGTTTTAGCAGAAACTAGAATTGGTTCCTGTGCTCGCGATCCCTGCAGTCAGAAAGGTACAAGGACACAAAGAACATTTAAATAATTATTTGAGTTCGTCCACATCTTCTGCTCATATAATCTGTTTAATTAACAGCATCTAAATGGCATTATCATTTCTTGTATCATACTATTATAGTCGCATATATAGTCAACATGGAAACAGCACTAAAATCATCGCAGTCCGACTGCTTTCTCTGTAACATACTTCAGAAACACTTTCCAAGTTTAGAAAGGCACCGTCCAGCTGAGAAACAGGAGAAAATTATGACAGTTGTGTAATCATAGACTACAGAGCCATAATTGAAAATAAACTTTGTTTCGACTACAACACTGTATCACTTTACTAACATGAGACTGCCAGCGCTTACTGTGCCTAACGAGTTTTATCCTACTGGTACAAAACTGAATGTCACAGGCTAAGCAAAAAACAGCAGAATGCCCTGTGAACATCCAGGAACAGAGTGACATTTCAGGGTCAGGTCTCTACACTCACTTCCTGTCTCCCGACACATGATTAATTCAATATTTTCAACTTTTTGAGGGTGGAAGTGCAACATCCTGCCCTACCTCAGTGCTGATCTGTGCCGGTATGCTGACAAATTCTGGATTCGAAGCAAACGCTGTCAGATTTTCCACCGCCTCTATCAAAGGTGCAGTAGCAATTCTGCACTTGTTGCGGTTCTCTTCAGAGAAATCACCATCCAGGGCCTGGAAAATAAATAATGATGGTTGGAAGGATGATTGTTTAATTCTTCATAGTTTTAAACTGTTGCGTGCTTACAACATGTGAAAGTTCCCCCACAAACAAGGCTGTGATCCTTTAAGCGAGTGTTTCTTTACTTAGTTGGTTATTGACCCTAAACTGAAAACTGCTGCTTTGCTTCACAGGACTGAATGAAGGTTTCCCATCATTGCACTCTGATGACAGTCATCAACAGCATCTCAGCCCCTCTTGCTCTAAAGAGTGGAAGTGGCTAACAAGGTAGTTCTTTCCTACAGACTGATTAAAAAAAAAATAATAAATTAAGCAAACCAATAATTTATTGCTCTCATTTTCACATGAGGCAACTGATCTCTTTCATAATCTCATAGGAAAGATTTCAACAGGAAGGACCTTCTGTGTAATGTAACAGAACCTTCCAGTCCTAAGAGCATAATTATTTTAAAAGACTTTCAGTAGCAGATCAGTAATGGCTTCCAGCAGGGTTTTAGAATCATGACTCCTCTACAGCTTAACAAGTATTATTTCTGCTTGCATGAGGAAAAGCTGCCTCCTGACAAATTGCAGGCAGGTATCTGGAACATAACAGACTATTAGTAACAGGAGAATTAAACAGCGGCAACATAAACAGCTTGTTTGGTTCCCAGCATTATTTCTTTATTTTTCTTTTATAAATCTGGTAAAGCTGTCAGAAATACCTCCACAAACGTCCAGATATTGAGCAATGTAACACCATTAAAAACCTTCACATTCAGTTTGCAAATTATTCTGATGGTGCAAGACCTTTAAACACATAAACACAGAGGTGTCCCATAGTGGGTGGGCCAGCTGCCCCTCCTCACACTAATATTGCCCAGTTCTTTCCATCTCGACTACAGCACAGTTATACCACTGAATGTGTTTTCCAAGTCAGGTCTTCAAAAGGGTAATTAATGATTTCTTAAACCATACATGTCACAGAAGGTGAAAAGATATTTCTAACTGTTCTAATTTGGTCTCAACAGAAAAAAAAGAAAAAGAGAAACAAAAACACAAAGGGAGAAGGAAGCACAATTAAGCAGCATTTGTACCTTGATAGTTTTAACCAGGTTAGCAGTGCTGTTTGCAACTTCCTTGGCAGACTGCACAAAATGTCTCTTGGCAACAGGATTTGCTGTCTTTGATGAAGCAATGCGACAAGCATTGCATAAAGCAGAAGTATGTTTGGCCACAATTGTGGCAGCTGATAATACCTGTAAAAAATAGACAGCACAAAACAAGCAGATGTCAAAGGAGCATGACAGTTACTATACTCTAGCTCTGCAAAGTCACAGTTCAAAGCCATGCAACAGTTGCAAACCAAAACTCCTTTGCACAAATACAGCGAAGTTACGTGTCCCAACACTGACATCTCACTGCAAGCCTCCGGAATCACCTGGGATGGGCTGCTTGCTGGATCTACCAAATTCTGGCAAGCCATCTGGATTGCTTGATTGGCTCTGGCAAATTGAATTGGGTCAACAAGACCCTGCTGACCAGCCTGACTGTTTGGATCCGAGATGCCAACCAGGTAAGCAGCCTAGAAATGAAGAAAGGAAGAAAACAATCCTAAGAAACAATGCTTAATCTGTCTTGGCTCTTTGATAAACTTGTCATTTGTCATAGCACATGGTGGTCAGAGATTATCCAGAAATCATACTGTGAAGTAATATTATCATTTTGTTTAGTAATAAATCTCCAGGATCCTCTGAAACCAAGAAAACTTACACTTGTGAAATTTATTTATTCAAAGCAAAACTCTCCACTATTTAAGCAGCTGGTATCCCTAGAAATGTTATTTTTCACTCGCATAGCCCATGGAAAGAGCTTTAACGGTCACAAGCATCAGCAAATTATTTACTGGATTAACCACAGCTGGAAGTAGTGAGTGTTTTCCTCAGGCCTGAGTAGAAAACCACAGCAAATGCACTTCTGCTGAGTGTAGGACCCATCAAGTCTGCAGTGGTTGGTCTCACTGCACCTCAAGATGTCTGATGGCCAAACTAACTTTCTTTCTCAATTAAATAAAAGTTTCATGCCTCTCAACAACGAGGAATTGGCTGAATTGTCAAAACTGTATTTGAAGATTTCCTGATGCATTTCAATTACAGATACAATTATCTGTCATCTTGATATGCCCGTAAGGCAATGCAGGGTTAGATGTGGAGGAGATTAATTCTGTACTGAGACATTCCATATTTGGGGAAATCAAGAAGCGGTTTCCCGATGCAGAGCATGATCCCCCACAGCCAAATCCCTCACTGCGGAGGCTGTATCAGCTCTCGAGAGTTCAAGTCACCCAGTTATCAGACCAGTGAAACCCCAGTGACCAGTTCCAGCCTCAAATTTGTTGTAGTAGCTTAAAAATGTCAGTTATTCCAAAAGTATCAGCCGACAGAGGTTGCTTATTATTTAAAATGTCTGAAATTAGTAGTGCTCCTTATGAATTTTTACAAACTAAACCAAACTTGATTAACTTATTTGAACTGTGGTCGGGTTTTATGCGCTTCTGAATGATGTAATAGTTCAGAGGTTGAGTTGCAAACATGAATTCCATATGCCACTGCTTTGATATTTGCTTTCTGCTCAGAAAAGTTTCCTTCTTGGTGTCATTTCCCTTCCTTAGAAAATACGCATCTTACTGCACTCTGCTGCTTCTGCAACGTACAGCAGTGTACGTACAATTTATGTGGCTCTACACAGAGCACGCCGTGTAGAACAAGGTCATCATTTGTTTGGCCACAAGGAAGTGAATTTCAGATTTACACACCCACAACATGAGCTTTCTAAAAAAATAAAAACATATACTTGCTTTACAGACTTCAGTAGCTTACCTGAGCTGCTGCCTCTGTGAGGCCACAAAGAGCCTTGGATGCAACTCCAACACATTCTCCAAAGACTAAAAGATCCCCAGTTTTTGCATTCTGGGAGATGCCCGCCATTGATTCTCCAAGAACCTCAGAAATTAAAAAACAAAGTTACCTTCCCAATATGCTTCCTTACCACTCAAAGGCAAGTGATTCCTGGCCTTGAGCCAGTTCTGGCCCACAAACCTCTTTGTCTTGGCTTCCAGAAATTTTAGCTAGTAACTGACTTCCCTGAATCAGGCACATTCCTCTGTGTGGCGTAAGTGATAAGGCATGCTGAACTACGCTGGATTGACAGTGCTGGATATAAAAACTATTAGAGTGTGCATAACTACAAGGATACAGAATTAACCCTCATTATTTTTTGCTGTCATCCAGTAGTCATCACGGCTAGCCTGGCACTAAGTACATTTCACAGATTGCAGAACACGACCACCACTCCCCCAGTCAACACATCCGGGATCTTCTTTGCCCCCAGAACTCACTGAAATGCAGTGGAATTGCATCCAGTCTGCTGGAACCATCTGAATGTCAGAATACATGTTAATTCCCACAGTGTCTCCCACTGAATTCAGATTATTTTCTTTTAAAATTCAAAATAAGATCTTGCTGCAGTAGAGCATTAGATATAAGATGACATGCACATCCATTAAGCACCTTCTTTTTCTTTTAGAGAAGGAAGGATCTGAGACAATTCCAATATATCAAGTAATAACACCACCAAAAGCAAAGCTTCGAAGAAAGATGTATAACACGGTATGTTGACAAATACCTTAAGAGATTTCACAGAGATTTTCTGATGTGCCGGAATATCTGGACTCAGACATTTCTCTAAGCTGTTTTGCACAGAACGATATAATGATATTTCATTGCCAAGCCTCGCATTTATGCTTTGGGCCATTCTAACATAGCTGCAGTCAAAGCATATCATGAAAGTATGACATGCTGTCTAATACACATGAGAGGATGGGAGAGAGGAGGAAACTTGAACAGCATTGCACACCAGTCACTTCATTAATAATTTCTTGGCAAGGCAATATACCTTCTAAGTGACCAAAAACTGAAATTACCTGTAAGAGACCTAGCTCAGGCTGAGTTTTATCAAGGAATGCGGCATACATTTTAGCTATAAACACTGTGCTGTGTTTCTAACACGTTTGATATACGTGTGGAAACTTCCAATAATCAGAACGCACTTTACACTTGTCACAGAAATGGGAAAAGAAAATTACCTTTGAGTTTTCCATTACGCCCTCAATACAATCAAAATATGAGAGATCGCTCACAGGTTCATTGGGGTTATCCAGCATTCCCTTAACTGTCTGAAATAATAAAAGATACTCTGATTATTGACAAAACCCGAAATACTGAGCTGAGAAGAACACAGACCATCACAACTATCCTGCTTATACCAATGTAATCTTACAACTTTGTCTCCGGCAAGCAAACAAAACTACACTCACTGAGGGCTCACATACAGATGAGCGTGCCACACATTAAATCCCACCCTACAATCCCTAAAGCATGGTAACTACACATTTGTGCACTGCAAATCTGTTGTACATACAGGGTAATGTGGTTTACCTTGTGTTTGTGATGAGTGATTTATGGTCAGTTACCAATGCTCAGCTGATACGAGGAAATCTGCTTTTCTGTCGGTTGTCAACAGCCTAATATATGTTTTCAGTACTATTTTAAATTTCATAAGTGGAATTACGAGAGTGACAGAAAGACCAGCCACCATTTGTTGAGTGCTGTCTGGAGACACAACGAGCTACCAAACCATGTGCAAGTCAACCACCTGCCTGCCTCTTACTACTGCCAACAGATTCCACCAACATAGCTCCCTCTGCCAGAAAACTACACATACGAGTTGGATTTAATTTATTTTTCTGAGGCAATTCTGATTCCTGGAAATAACAATGTGAAAGTCAGTCACATATTAATTTAAAAGAATCAATGCATTTAGATAACAAAACTTGTAAAAAGGTGTAAAATGCAGCAGACTAAATCTCTTATATATAAAAAAAAAACTGTAATATGACTTCTTCCAAGTTTTGAGGAACACTACTTTCTGCCAAATACCAGATAGAAAAGACTTTTAATCTTTCCAATGACAGTAAAGTGCATAAGTATCGAAGATACTAACATCTGTATCTGATGTTTGCCTTTCACCTACAAGGAAGTCTAGGCATGATTTTAAATGCCTAGACTTTTCTTATAACTAAACTTCTAACATTAAGATACACCTACAACATTTTTAACAGCTCAGCTATTGCTTTCTTTAAAGCTATAGTCCAACTTAAAGCCTTACAGCAATCCAACTGTGAGAACAAGGTGATGTGAGGAAGAAGTCCTATCTAGAAAACAGTTTCCAGTTACCTCTCGCCTCTTAGTTCTCACAGACATTGCAACAACTCTTCATTGCTGTGCTCCGTCTTTAAATAACATCTTCTAAAGCAAACAGTGTTCCTGCAGTACTTGCACTACTATGGAGATAGTAGCCCACAGAATGTAAGGAAACAGAACAGCAAATCATGAGCCAGCACAACTTCCCACTGACATTTGCTATTACTATAACACTTTGCTTAATCCTTTCACCTGAAATTCTGGGCAAGTTTAGCTATCTCACTGGAGATCATACAGTAAGGTCCTCTCTGAACACAGTTTTCCAGAGTCTCCAGGGAAGCCTACAGAGCATACTGACAGGCTATCAGATCCAAGCTGAGACACACTTTTCTACAGAAACAGAACTTTTTAGTACTTTTAAGAAGCTTCAGGGAGACTACCAATAGTAGGTGATGAGTTGGGGAAATTCATTCAGGGAAGAGGTAGGAGCTTAATCATTGTAAAAAAAGAAACATAAGTTAAGACTACTAAGAAAGCCTTCCCCAAAATTTGATAGGTTCCTCAGGTTACTTTGACACCAATCTTCAGTCTGGTTTCAGGACTGGATAGTTTTGCCTCAGTTTCCCTCGTCTAAGAAATTAATCTAATTGCATACACCCGGGCTTTTCTCACTAACTGTCCCTCTCAGGGAAGTGCTTCCTCAAGTTCAAGAAACCACAGATCTTCCTTCTGCCCTTTCCGGGCTCTGCTCGCAATCCATGCAAGCCATGCTATTGGTACAGATTCCTCTGCAATGGCTTCTCCAGGCTGTTCTGCCCTACATTTCTCCCCTAAGCTTTCAGCTTTCTGTGGCTCGTTTGCTGGGAATTCTGACCTTTCACAACCCTGCTGTTTTGCAGCTCTCTCCCCATTCTCTTTCAGGAAGTCCTGAGAAATGGTGCTTCACTCCCCCTGCTTGCTCCACCCCTACATTCTGCAGTGATTTCAGGCTGTCGTTACATTACGGCCCATGGGCTGATGACTGTAGACTTGCATATTACAAAAGCTCACAATATCCTGGAAAGCATTGCAATGACCTCTGTATCCTTTTGATACCAAGGAATAGAAATAAAAACTTGAAAGTGTTTTATATTCTCTACACAGGCCAGTCATCACTCGGTGTTCTGACCTTGACAGCAAACATTTAGTTAAATTTAAAAGATTACATCTCCTACTATTGTAAGCAGCTGTCTCTCTGATCAGTGCACAGCCTTAGAATTAAGTCTTTCAACCAACCCGCTGCCCACTGTCTCTAGCCAGCCAAACATTTCACTCATGAACCTGAACACACCTTGCAAAAACCTGTACTGACACACGTCATATTGGCTTCATTGGGACAAAGCAGACACAAGGCGTCAAAAATCTACGCTAACAAATGGCAGGGAGCAACAGGGCAAAAGGTGGTACACATAATCCTAAATTGGGATGTCAGTAATAACATTCTATAAGCAGAAAAATCAAGATACTGCAGCTCACTCCAGTGCAGGGAATGTCCATCTCATCATGATTCTTCCTTAATTCACAGTAAGAATAAATAATAAGGACTAAACTGTACCTTTTGAGGGGCAGGGAAGAGGAGGATGGGGACAAGGCAGTAAATTTCATTCTGGCCCAAACTACAAGATGTTCACAGAGGTTCACACTGTATGCAATTAAAACCCCTGCCACAGATACCAACTGAGAAGACAGCGACAGGAGCTGATTGGACAAAGCAAATAAAAGAAACAAACATTTGGGGCCCATTTTATTTAATACAATAAGATCTTTTGAAATGTAGTAATACCTCCAGTTCTCTGAGTGCATTGTCACATTCCTTCTGCCCAGGAGCTTGCTGGGTGCACAGCGTGATGAGCTGGTTTATACTCTCAGTCACAGCTCTAGGGAAAGTAGAAGGAAAACAGGTACATTTTAAAGTTAAACTATTCCTCTTATTAAAACCTTTGTTTCATTAACTGTACATTGCATAAAAATTTAAAACTTTAATGTTCTACTACATTTTTTCTTTTCAGTGTTTGGGGATTAACTGTATATGTTAGACAGTTCATCTAGAGTCCTCTTCTTTAACGAGCTTCATAGGAGCAAAAACATTCTCACTAAAGCATTTGATAGTGATCCACACCTGAAAAATCTATCCCTGCGGTGTGAACAATTGAGAAATTATTCCAGAAGAAACAGAAGCTTCATCTCACAGCGACAAGTAACTGTGGGCAACTTTTGGCTGCTGGGGTGAGCTCTCTGAGAGGAGGCCAGGGGCTGTCCTATGCTGGGTACAGCTGGTTCCAGAGAGCTCCAACAGACCCACCACAGGACACAGCTGCGCCCAGCAGCCAAGCTGGTGGCACCTCTGGAAAATATTGCTAAGAAAGAGAAAAACACCACATGGCAGCTGGTCAAGGTCAACCCACAACACTAGCACAGTGACCTAACTTAGTTGCTTAACTTAAAAGGCATTTCAGCACTTCTCCAGGTCTGATACCAACAGAATCATTTCTCAGCTAGCACCTCAGAAGTCTTAAAAGACACAGAAACAAGTAGTCAGTATGTAACAAAATGTTTGAATATAAAGTTCATTATACACCCTTTGTTAGCAAAGCCTTGTGTCTTGTCTGACACACTGTATTACCCACAGATAATCCTGCTCTGGATTTCTACAGTCTGTTATCAAGTTGGTTTTTTTTCTCTTTACCTAATCATTGATACTCTGAGTCAACATGCATCGGCTCCCTTAGGTTTAAATCCACAGAGAACAAGATATTCTGCAGTACGTTTCTATGGGAGTTCACAGTTCTGATGTTCTTGAACAGGCTGAATCTGACATAGTCACTATTTCTGTTTTCAGTGAATGCTCTGATATTAAGCAAAATTCATTATAGCTACATTCATTTTAGACTAATGGCTAAACACCCAGGAAAGTAGTGTCTAGAAGAGGAGGCTTTGCAGGAGGAGGTAGAAGTCTGTCGTTCGTTGTTATTAATCAAAGATAATTTTCTATAGCTAGGCGTGTTGTCACCAATTTGCAAAAACTTAGCTTGTATTGACATTATAGTGGAATGCAAGTTTTTTGTGTTGCTTCTTGTGGCAAATTAGAAAATTTGTGAAATTGGAGTGCATGGAGAACCTGCTTTCCTCTGGCCTCGAAAACTCTGCATGGCGTTTGGATTATTTCCCCTTTAAGAAAACTGGCACTTGGTAACATGATTGGTAACATCAATAACATGATTACCCAGATGGATGGTACCATACTGCTAGGAAAGGAAACAGGATGTGCTTATTACATACACAAGGCTTTATGTTTAATTCCAGGACAAAAAGAATGGAAACCGATAGACATATTTGTCTAACTGAGACTCCTACCCTTTCCAGTAGCTTTCATGTCCTTGTGGAGCCATTTTTCCGGACCTCCTCTGCCTTTTAGGACTGTAACATATACATGCCTGGTGCCCTGTCTGGCATACTTCATTATACACACGTAGTCCTGCTATATATTCATATAGTCTGTTAGCAAGTTGTGTTTTTTTATTTTAACTTATCATTGATATTCTCCAAGTCAATATGTGTATGAACAAATATTTTTCAATTATCTATCTCTGAAAAACAACATGCATGGCTTCACTAACATAACATCAAGAGAAATTATGGATTCTCAGCCTCCTAAACATAAGTGATTTCTATGCATCAGAAAAATGTTGTTACATACAGACATATGAATAGAAGGAAAAAATGAAAGGTTCTAATTCACTCCCAGAGAAACTTCACACAAAAATATCTTATAATCTGTTGATTTTTATCTAAGAGAAAGAATGCACATTGACTTAGAGAAGATCAGTGATTAAAGAAAAAAAACCCAGCTTGGTAACAGATTAGAATTGTCAGCTTTGTAGAAGATGCAATATGGTCTTATGAATAACATTACTACACACCAGGGAGTATATTGTGGGCGTACTCTGGAATACACCCAATGCGCTAGCATTACTTTTAAAACTATTTGGAGGCAGTAGAATCAGGAAGGTGGCCCCTCAAACACCAACCCCAGAGTGAAAGAGGACTGCTAGGACTCTAAAAGCCACATTTGTTTTCATCAAATACAGCAGATAAATACTTGGATCCTGCAGGGAACTTGGCCACTGTTGCAGTTCTATGAAACTGCCAGAGGAAGTCCAGAAAAATGCCTCCACAAGGAGGCCAAAGCTATGGAAAAAGTTGGAGTGTCTATTATAGCTGGAACAAAAGGGGAGGAAAGGAAAGAAAATACAAGAAGATTAATCACAGTACCATAGAAGATACGAATAAAAGGAGAAGATAAGCCATCTTACTAACAGGAAGCAAAGCTGTGCTTCTTTTTTCATTTCCATAAGAAAAGAGAAAGTAAAAATACCTGACCCTGACCATATCA